CAATCGATAGTTCAATGACCCGCATGATATCGATTTATTACTTTCGTATAACCCATTTCAAACGATAGTCGATAAGAAAACGTTAATTAAACTGATTGCGGATGGATTGCATATCTGTCTGTTCTCTTCGGAAGTTGGAGTTTTAGTAGTGTTACCAATGTTGCTTTCAATTTGGGACATTTATTTATTTATTGACTATTATATTTAAAAAAAAATATGGCGCAAGATGGATTTAATGCTATTATGTAGGTAACAAACACCACTTCCAGTCAACATTTAGATTAAAATGCAAATATATAAAGACAAGATGCTCGCTGTTTTATATCAATTTGTGTCGCTTTTCTGTTGCGCTATATTTTGCCGGCAAATTAAGTTATCAATGCTTTTTGAAATAGATGCCTCTCGCAATTGTACAAGGGAAGAATAAAAGCCCCTTAAAGGTTTGCTTTTAGACAAAGAACCATTTTTGAATGTTACACACATTGCTGAATTAAGTGTGCAAGTAACAATGTATAGGTTCGGTTAAATTTATAAAAAGCAGTAAACAATTGTATTAATACCGAATATTGAATTATTTTAACTAAAAGCTTGTTTGTTAATAAATGTTAATTACTGGTACTCGTTTATGTACGTAGATAATACACAAGTTTATGATTGTTACAATTTGGATATTACGAAATTGTGTACGTCCTGTATGGATTTGAATATGTGGCAACACTAGCCGGCGGAATACGGACTCCGCATTCTCTAAAGTAGTTTGTGAGGGCGGAATACCGATCGTGGAATTGGGGGATGTGTATACGTGAGTCGCTTTGTAATAGCCACCATCAACTTGATTAATAGAGTTTCATTGCATACGCGTTTAAAACTGCTCTTAGAAATTATTTTTAGTTCGGTGGGAAATTATGTTACATAAAATGTAAAGTACACTATTCTGTAGTGTTTTTATATTGTTTTGCATTACCTATTGTCTGTTATTTGTAGTGTATGCCCATGGTGACATTTTTTTCTGTAAACGTTTAATTGCTTTATTATTACGCACACACTTGTTGAAGAGTCTGAATGACTTTTAAGTACTTTACTCTTAATTGAAATAAAATGCAACATCCGGAAATAAAGTCGTCGTTTGACTGAACTCCTTTATTATAGTCGACACTTTTAGAATTAATTTTGAACTTAATAAGTAGTATTTTGATGTACTTATAGAATGTATAATTATAATCGTATGTAATCTACATTTTATTTTTAGAACGAAAACTGTCTCTTCTGCGTATCACGAATATATTGAAATAGGAGGAACTGAAAGTTATTCCTTTTATAATAATCAACTAATAAAATTTAATTTATTTACCTGTTTGCTAATTATATTAAAAAATATTTATTATTTTTAATTGGTACAATTTATTGCACAAAATTATTTATTCACTTATTTACACATTAGTGTAAGTAAATAAATAATAATTTTACACACCTACTTCAAGAGCTGTTCACTAATACCTCTATATAAAGCCATTATTGTTCTTTTGGTATTGTTGATTCGATGGCACATCAAGTCAGAACGTTCAGAGGATGAAACGTTATTTTTATTTTTAATGGGGCATACAGACGTCTATTGTTAATTATCGCGATCGTTTAGAAACATTTATCTTTTAATTGCACCAAAAGTTTTTACAGTTGTATTAACAATCTGTTGAATTGCATTATCTTGACGGCTTATAACTGCCGCATTCTATACAAACGGATCTAGGGCTGATGCTAAAGTCTTTTTTTATTAGTTGTAAATTTTTTTTATTATTTTTTCGATAAATACAACCCTTGAATTTGTTATTGCACTGTTTGTCGCAATATTTGATTTATATGTTTAGCACTATATGATCTTAACGAATGTTAAGTAATTGTACATGATAATTGTCTATCGAGTACTTCTAGATAAGGGGCAAATTAATCTATCCGTAGATACGTTTTTGCTACCTCATGCAGGATATGTATAGATTTGTTTGTTACTTGTCTAAGGAGACTAGAGTTTTATACGCAACATAATATTCCGTATATAGTATCCGATACGTTGTTGTTATGAAATTGACATTATGGTTACTCTTATAGCATTTCTCTAAAGGTTATATCTTTGTCAGTCATTTTTACCATTTTTCATTAACAATATTATTAAACGAATGGTTACTTTGTCTACTCAAATTTTCATATAGAAAGAAAACAGTGGTGCCATCTGTGCAGTGTTTTACGCCGTGTTTCCAATTCTTGAAGTGGTCTGGAGTCGTAATATTTATTGCTTGCTCTTTAGGAGAATTTATTGTTACGGCACAGTAAATAATGTTGTTATTTGTTTGTGATGGAATGTCTCTGAGCACTATTTGTCATGAATATTGTTTATATGTAATTTGTCAGACACGACAATATCGAATTTGTTACAATCAAAATTATAAATTAGTCTTCATATACTTTTAACTCTATAAATTAGGGTCTTGTCAAGCTTAAGGAAACCTATCGAGACCCTGTAAACAGTGCTAAACAAGAGCTTTAGACAAGCGGCAAGCGTATCTATCGATGGAATAACGCTAATGAGTTTATGACACAAAAAGAGAGCAACATTCCGTATCTCATTCTATCTCATGGACTCGATAGTAATGACGATTCCACCAATGAATTCGCTTCCCACTTGTCTAAAAGGTCAGGTTCTCCTAACTGTTTTTAAGAAGGAAAATACTGTTTTTTTTTTAGTGTTAAAAGTGGTTTGGATCGGTTAAGGCTTTTTGAATGAATCACAATATTCATTAAATTAACAGTTGTCTTCCAGATGTTTAACGACAAAATAATTTATCAATTCGCATCTATTACAAATCAAATATTACATTAATAACGGTTAAGCATTGTGACACGCGTTAATTAACAAAAAAGCTATAATTAAAAAAAAAAAAAAGCCTAGAGACCAATTGTGAAATTTTTTTGTAGCGGCAACCCTCAGCTCTCGTCTGTCGGATGCAATCAATGGCCCTTTCAATTAAAAGTTTGCTTGTGGGCACTGCAGCGTCGTCCCACAATGGACGGTTGGTACTTTTTACCGTTTCCACTTTCTATCTAAAGTTTTTGTTCTACTCTATTTTATACTTTTTATTCTAGCAGTGTCCCGGTAATCTTGAAACCGCTGACTTTGTACGAAGAGATTGTAATCAGAACTATCCAACCCCAAAGTCTAATTATTTTTAAACTTATGTCAAGTTTAACTGTTTAATAAAATTACATTAACATAACGTGAAATTATTGGTCGATTACAGTTCCACCTGTTGCTAGATGTAAAATGTAATGACTTATTAAATTGTCAGTATTGAATGAATCATATTGGCCATTATTTAACGGGTTTATAAAAGCTGATTAAGATCCTATTATTGCCCTCGGATCGTCCCTCGATTAAATAGAAATTGTTTATTGTTACGCTGCTTGCCTGGGTGGTAAGGAATTCTAAATATTTTATTTAAATTAGGTAATGGAGTATGAATATAATACTCATAAAACATTTAAAATTCTTACGATGTCATAAGATGTGATTAAAGAAAATACTTGCTATTTACAATCGTATTCATTATTTTATTCCAAAACTAAATCGATCCTATCAATTTATTTACGCAAAGTAATACGTCTGCCACTGTGCCACAGGCGTTGTCTTAGATTGGTATAAATTCAATGTTGCGATAATAAATAAAAGTATAATACTGCAATACATTATTCCTTGAAATGACATGCATGCAAAAGATGGAGTGCACTAGCACGTGCAGTTTCGTTCCAAATGCAAATGGCATTGTCGTACTTCGTTTAGCTTTTAGGAATCCAAGATGGAAATGGGATCTATTTAGTTTAATGTTGTTATTTGTTTTGTCAAATCTAAATAGCTAGCTAATAACAGTTTTGAAAGTAGAATACTCATACCTAAAGATTTATAAATAATTTCTATAAGGATAATTAAACTTTATAGTAAAATTAACTAAAACAATGAACTGAGGTTTTATTGCAACCTACTTTTTCACGGACCAGCGCGACGAATCATTTCTTTCAGTTTGTACTTGATTTCCTCTTTTGTAGGTCAAGTATTTATTTTAACATTTCGCGACTGTTCAATCACCAATTAGTGAATGTTATAAATCAAAATATGTGAATGTATGATTTGATTTTATTCTATGGAATTTTATATGGAATTCAAAAGTAAGGAGTAGATAAGACATGTTCGCATCTGCAAACACACAGACGTGGTATTTTAGAATGTAAATTCTCACACTAAAGGCCATATGTTTGTTCTGTTGTCATCGCGTCGACCATCGCTCGCCCATAAGTTTGTGTATTAAGGAAACAATGCAGGTAACGTAGGCAATAAAATGACACTGTTGCCCGCCAGGTTTTATGGATCGTAAAGTATTATGTTGGTACTGCCGCCGTTTCGGTGCGGCTTACAATGTTGACGCCTCCTTCAGACTCTAAACGGTATCTGTGTAATTGTGCACCCGTCTGAGTCTACATTCGCGTCCATTTTCTCGTAGTAGTCCATTGTTTTATAGTTTCAATCTTTTAAATATCTCATAAAAACTCGTCTAAAAAAGTAAAACCTCTTTACATTTTTCAGCGACTTTCAGGAAAACCTTTTCATTTATCTTTTGATATGCAGGTTACGCGATATTTATTAATTCTGATAGTGATAAATTAAACTCTTTTTGCAATCCATGGAGTTTACTTCATATTAATTGTTACGATGGGTGCAGCTGTTTACGTTCGAATTGCTAATTCTACTAGAAATAAAATACAAAAAAAAAACAAGTAAACCGCGACTTTATCCGCATGACTGAGGTTAAAAGTAGCATATGCCTTTTTTATCCCATACTTGTTAAGGTGACACCAAACATAATTTTTGCAAATATAAGTAGATTAATAAAAGATTTGGAAGTAATGATTTTGTGTTAATTATGAAATGTCTAACCATATCTTTTGTTTTGTTCCAGGTGTGACACCGTGCAGTGAGTGCAGTGTTACCGGACGGCGTCGCCGGTTGGTTGTTTCAGTGCAGTGCTAGTGCTGTGACGTGCGGTTATCGGTGGTGGTGTGTCAGTCAGTGGCAGTGTGTGCGTGTTGCGTGTGCGTTGCGTCCGAAGCGGCGCGGGTGCGGGTGCGGGCGCGGACGCGGACGCGGGCGCGCGAGTCACATCAATGCCGGTGTGCCGATGGATCGGTGATTGCGGCCTGACTACGTCACAACAGCAGCGTTGGTGAGTGAGCAGCCGACCTAGACCTTTTATTTTTAAACTCGCACTGTTATTGTATGTTATAGATGTACGCACGTACGTGTTGGTATTACACGTACGTATCTATGGGTGCGATAGTTGATTGTTTTAAGTTTTATGACTTGATATCTACTAAAGTAGGATTGTAACTGTTGCTATGTAGGTATAAGCGTGGAAAATTAGATATACCTAACAATAGTTTATTGAGAACTCAGGTACTTGGAATATTGACAAACAGTAATGTGTTTGTGGAAATGATATGTTCTTTACGGGGTGGCAGAGAAAATCTAATATCGCGTAAGTCTTCTTTTCTTACACATATCTTTTTTTATATCTACTTTCATGGTTCAGACATACATATACGTTGGTTGACTCTTTGAAGTTAGGACTTTACTTTCAAACATCACACGATTTTTGTGATCATAATAGGTCGAGCCTAGGCTAGGTTTACCTAATACCTCTTATTCCATTCAGAATAATAATCGTGAGCACATTCTTGATATATAATGCAAAAAATTAAATACAATTTAAACATTATTATTTATGTTGACAATGAATGTGATATCTAGAAACAAACAATATATACACAGTAATTGAGGGTTACTATCTCTTATCGAAAAACGTATCTTATCAAGATTAAATGGCGCATTGTTTTTGTCTCGCTTCGCGTGCCAAGCGCCGACCCTCCCACTCGAACTGTCACCGCTTGATCGATTGAATAGTTCGACCAGTAATTGGTCCACTGCTAGTGTAAAACTTTTTTTGTATGGCTTGGAATGACATACCAACAGGCAATCTATCTTATAGAAAGTGGTGACCATTGCTTTAACGGAATACACTGTGATGAATGCTACCAACCGTTCATGCGTTACGATTCCTGAGATCTGTGGTCTTATGTTTCAATCAGTTTTCAGGAATTTCACTACCATATATTCATCATTTAAATTTAAACTCATTGTTCTGTGTTCGTACGCACAAAACAAATGTTTTGAAGTAAATACACGAATGAGACGGAGGTGTCCACATAGACGACTCTATAAATTACCCTTTGATCATTATTTGGCTAAAAGAAATATAAAAGGTATAATTGATCTATGTAGGTACTTTTTTTGTAATTGTCTTTATATATGTTAATGAATTTATGTACAGATACTATGTTTCGTTTCCACATATTCTATTCAGAGCTTGGTTAGAATATGTTTTTCACACGGAATAGTTCAAATTGTCGTTCTACTTTGGCCCTCTCATACATAATATACTGTGTTAGTACAAAAAGTTAAACTTGCGATATGTTTCATGTTTAAATACCTTACTATAAAGGCGTGTATAGTAAACTATAACATAAATGTCTAAATAAAGTATATTATAAAAATAAAAGGTTTTAAGTAATATTATAAGAAATCTATAAATATTAACACATAACATTACAAATAAATATTACACTAACTTTCTTTAATCACTTTAATAGATTTTTTGAGTACTGTTTTATTAGATAGTGTTTTAAATTATTGTTATGCTAAGATTGATGTTTTTTAATATCTTTGTACATATTTTTAAAATTCATTCAGTAGTTCTAAAAATAAATCCTTAACTTCTTAAACTTTTATCACCTGCAAAAGGTTAGGCCAGCTACAGATTAAAGTATTATTAATTTTATCATACTTGCATCGTAAGTATGACGTAGATTATGAAATGAATATAATAAAAATAATAAGATTAACTTGTATAATCGATGTATACATTAAAGATATGAACGCACTTAGGCACAGAAAGGTTATATTGTATATTTATGTATATTCTTCAACTACAGTTGTTTTTGCAGCTGATGCTACAATACTCGTATTATCCTATTGTATCATCCTGCTACGAATGCAGCTTTAGTTCTTATCCGAGAAGTCTCTACTTAAGTTGTTTCATAAAAGAACATTTCTGTTTTCTCTTCTGTCTTTAAGCATTGTTAAATTATGGGTGCTTTTATAATTTACTCCACGTTACGTCCGTATCGTGCCATAGCATAGTACGATATAGGATAATCATAAGATAAATCATAGAATTTTACCAAAACATAGATCCTAGAAAGGCGTTAATATATTTTCGTATGGTATGTTTTTTTTTGCAACTGGGTGTCGCATCGCCGTTGATTTGGATATTCTAAGTACGCCGACGATATCGTATGTTACAATTTGTAAATTATGTTTATTATTGTAAATTACGTGTCCAATAGTAATAATAGTCCTATAGTCAATAATATATTTTTTATCCATGTTTTTGCCGTGAAATTTTTGCTATTTGAAAGTTGGGATATAAGCAGTTAAATTACAGGGTATGTAGGCATGACACTATAAGCCTGGATGACAAGAGATTGTTAGTAATGATTCTACAAATACCCATTGCTAGCAATATACCAATATGTCAGGTCGACCTCCACATGGCTCCTTCTGGAAGCCGCTGAGAGAATTGACCTGCTTTTTTATCCTTGCCTATTATTCCTCGCGGGTGTCTCGCCAGCGTATACGATTAGCGCAAGTGGAATTTTTTTTTACCTATTAAATAAACCACCATAGTCCTAAAGAATGACAACCCATAAGAGATGTATGAGATCATTACAGCACATTCAGTATATCCATGGTGCTATTCGTGTTTATAGGTGACGGTTACTGCTTCTCGTCAGACGGCCCGTCAGCAGTTTGTTTGACATTCTAAGTCACAAAAAATAATATACGAAGATGCCTGTCTCATTTTGGCGCCAGTCGTTATTATTTTAGGGATAAAGAGTAACGCATAAAGAGTATAATTGGAACCAAATTAAAGTTTCAAATCTCCATCATTCGTACTCGATGTCGATTTTTTAATATCTATTATGAAACCCAACTACTTACGATTTTTACACAGCCACCTTACGGCAATTATTGTGCCATCACTTTCACAAAATACATGTATTTCTAAATTTAAAATATTGTTTCTATATACTTGATTGTCCTATTGATTTTATGTAATGCGTGTTATTTTTTTCCTTTCTAAATCGGAATTTCTGTTTCTATAGACATTATTTTAATAGGCCCCGTGAGAATACATCTGCGTGGCAAGCAACTCTTTATATGTATAATAATTTAGGACTAAATCTTTTTTGCTTAAAATCATTGAATCTTGCAGCTTTTAAAAAGCATAAATAACTGAACTTACAAGTCTACAAGTTATTATTAGTCTGGTGAGGTTCACCGATTGGAAAAATTTATTGTACGTTGGTTTCTTGGGTCAAGCCGACTGTCCCCTGTGATAATTTTTGTTTACATTTATACTATAATATCAATAAACTTTTACATACATCATAATTAGGTTAATAGACGTGTGTAAAAAAAATCTTTACTGACTTACTGACATATAAATAATAAAAATAAACCTTCTAGTTAAACTGATTGAACCGGACTTTATTACGATGCTTAGATTAAGAACGTTATATCTTAATAATTTAAAATTGCGTTCTTAAAAAAAAACTTAAATTAGGTAGTTATTTTAATATAAAAACTAAATTACGGAATCAACTTTGATAAAATTTCTATGCGACCAATTTAAAAGTATATCCTTTCAAATAAATAAATATATATACAAAGTATAAAGGATTTTAGACCGTCCTCATTTTCTTGAATCGTTTGAAAAGGCCTTTGCCACTCAAGATATTTTTATCCATCCCGCAAGAAATTGAGTGGTTAAGTAGTTGAAGTAGTTCAAAGCTATACTAGTGCTATTATAATGTTTAATTCTAATAATTTTACTACTCAATATTGGTGGATATTCGCAGAAATAAAAGTATTTGCTAAAATTAGTACATTGTTATTATTATTTTTGTAATAAAGATAACTTTATTAGGAGCAAATGTAATGTTATCGTCGTGTTGGCCAACTTAATAAATCAGTATATGTATATTATAGTACTATGTATATTATAGTACTATGTATATTATAGTACTATATATATATTTTTATGCAATTCTAAATTACATACAAGTTGACAACCTACCTGATGGGAAGTGGTAATTGGGCCTACAGGCAAGTACAATATTATGGGCTTCATAGAATACACTGCTGTGCGCCTATGGTACCTCTCATTCACTGTCGTATATAATGGACAGAATGATGTCAAAAGTAATAACATCCTTTTAAACGAGCCTTCTATCAGTTAAACTAAACGGCTATTTGGCTGGGAGAACGACAAAAAATTTTTAACTTCCATTATACTAACACGGCGCGTCAAGCAGTGAAGTTACTATAAAAGTCGATATTTTTTGTCGTTTCTCCTTGAAAAGGCTTGTTAATTTCGTCCAAGACTCATAAAATACTAATGTTAATGTAATCTGAACTGAATAATAAATAATGATGATTCAAAGGTTATGTTTTTGCCCCAGGTAAAGTATGCGCCACACCACCGCCCAGACTGAGCCGACATCGACACTAATGACATTACAATTGTGAGTAAACGATGCTCCTCTATATTTATAAGACTTTGTTCCATATAAGACTTTCACAGTGGTAATATCAGTATGAAACCAACACGGGAGTAAATTGCAGAATTATCAAAATTGGTACATAATTAAAGAAAATATTAAGTAACAAAAAAAAATACAGTCTAATTCAGAACTATATTTTTATCACTTGTGACAAATATAGATAGTTATAGTTGTAAAACTTAGCTGGGTGGTTCCATTTAAATTTACAATAATTATAAAGCAAGAATTTTAAACATTCTATTTGTATATCATATTATGTAGAAGACTTTACGTATTATGATTCTATAAATATAACGATATCTGATTTCCTACGTGTTGATTGATCAGGATAAATAATACCTTCTCCACCGTCAATTACTACATGTATATCGAAATTTCATAACGATTACTCGAACCGTTAAGACACCATGAGTAACAAAACTAAATAATAACTCGATTTTACATTTATAATATTATAACGGGTTCCGCGGACATGCCATCTGAATTAGTATTTAGAATCCTGTGTTCTAAAATACACTATGTATTAAATTTCATTAAAATGCGTATTAAAGTGTGATTATGTACCAAACATCCAAATGTTTACATTTTTAATAGAATAATACTGAAATAAACAATACGTTTTGATGTCCTTTTTATTAGTAAAGATGTCATTTATCATGTTGGTCGATAATCCACATCTATTAATATGTAGTCAGTTATACATTCATTGACATATATGCCTATCAGTAGTATACAACGGGTTCAACACCCGTGAACTGAACTTCAATCCCACTAACTACTATCGCGCTGATTGGATATCATATCTAGTGCATAATTCCGTTTATTCGGTTCTATATGTTATGTATATCTTCCGTATGTCTATGTGTGAGTAAATTAACGTACTGGTATTGTAAGATCTATTAATCAATTTGTTATAATATTTAAATTTTATAAAATGTTTGTATTTCCATGTTAAGCCCCTTACTACGTATGTACGTACGTACTATGTACATACTATTCTGTTTTTGTTTTTGGTTTTTTTTTTTTTTTAATCTTTTGTACATGTATCGTTTTTTATCTTTTTGCACTTTGCTTTTGTATCTTTTGCTGTTTGTGTGCTGTAAGTGATGCAAATAAATTATCTATCTATCTATCTATCTACTATGTATGTACTACGTACATACTCCGTAACGACAGAAGGAATCTAGTGAAAGAAGGTTTTTTTATTGACTTCTTTCTCAGGACGTTTGATGATATTAGTTTTAATCTCATAAACTTACACAAACAGACAGAAATTTATTCATATAAGCATCAACTGTTAGGCGTATTTTCTTGATCTTTCTTGAGCACTTCTCTTATGTTTGATTTAAAATTTGTTTAAAATATTGCTATTCAACAATTACCGAATTGAGAACATCTTTCTTTTGAAGTCATTTGAAAATAGATTTTATTTGGACTATATTATAAGATTTCTGTTGTATTGTTGCAGGTGACGCGCTGCGGAGCGGTGATTAAAGCGGCTCTGCCGCTTTAAATGGACAAACGCAAGATGCTGCCAAAGAGAGCGCGTATGGATAGCATGCGGGGTCCCATTGCAAATGGACCCCTGCAATCAAGGTGGGCATTTTATTGTTTATTTATTAATAAGTTCAGTGTACACCGCAGTCTTATTGACAAAACCAACTGTTTTGGCATTACCGTTATTGTAAAGAACCACCTCGTCACGTATTTCTGGTTTTGAAGCAATAAATCAGTGCATTGTAGAGTATTTGTTTGAAGAATAAAAGTATCAGCGTAATTTTTGAAACAAGGTACGTTTAAAACCTTTTAATTTTTAGCAATGATCATGGCATAGTTATGTACGCCATTATGCCGTTCATATCTACAGGCGACGGTTAACTCAACCGTAATTATTTGAATAGTATTTCTTTTACGTTCCTATTAGTATGAAATAAGTGAGATACTCCGCGCCTGGTCAACGGTCTGTTATTCAAGGCCGCTGAATGAATTCTCATAAATAATAATGACTATGACCTATGCTTAAAACATTAATGTTCTTCGTGTTGTTATCCGGATGCTATTTTATAACATGAATTGATTAGATTATAATTTTATGAATAATGTAATACTGATAAATTTAGACCTTTTAAATATTTATGATAAATTATTACGATATTAAACGCATTCTATCGTTCGAATATTAGTTTCATAAATTTTGTCTACGTCCAATCATAGTTGACTACTGCTAGTTGAAAGTTTTCTATCTGTACTTAGCCTGCGAACGTTTTAACAAGTAACATAATAATATCTATTCGGTCCCAGTAATTCATATTCTATTCGGCGAGAAGGCGGCGAGTTAACACAGCGACGTCCGACATCTATTGGGTTCACTCCACTTATTCTTTTCTCGCGTTAATCCTATTTGGTTTCCATCAAAACTTGCCCGAAGGGGTTGTCAGCCACCCCACGGCGGCCTCTTTGTTTGCCACCAAATCTGTTTTCGTCTGCCCCTGGAAAGTTTGGAATTTCTGAAAACTCCTTCTCCGTTCGGAATTACTTTCTCGTTTCACTGCCGAAACTTTCCATGGCAATAATAATAATTCTGCTCCGCTATGACGAAAGTTTAAATTATTAGTTTAATCGTACTGGCGTGTTTTAATTATACGGCGAGCCGGGCTGGGCCGGTTAGGGGCATGTCCCGTGATTAGTTTACACGGTCGTCACGAGTCCGGGACTGCTGTTTGATTTAATTTAATTGTCAATTTGTATATGTTGTCTAGTTATAAATTGGACGTAAAATATTTGGATCGTCTCGTCTGATAAATAGTTGAAGGGCATCCGTTTATTGCCCTAAGGTATATCGTATACATATATAATATACATAAATAATAGTGAATATTTAATTTTGTTCGTAAAAAATATAATGAAATATTTGTATGGATGACAAATTTATTTATTTTTCTGTGACGAAAGCTTACATTCGTTATTCATGTATTTATTATATAATCAATAGGTTATATTTATAATCACTTACCATCAAGTGAGCCGAATGCTCGTTTGCCCCCTGTATTAAAAAAAAAATAGTTGAATGCTAAAATCGGTTTAAAATTGACGAGGATATTGCATAACATACACATAAAATTACTGCTCAGTACCTACTTCTTGAGGTTTTTAAAAATAGAATTAAATAGTTTTTGATATTGTTTTGATGGGGAATATGGATTATTATAACAGAAACCTTCGTTTCGAATTCTAAAAAAATGCATATATACTTGGTTTTCATAAAGACTGTGCTAGATTTTAATTTCTTCTTTTTAAACTATATCTGTGAATTTACAATAATGTAGATAGGTATATATGTTTATGAACTTTATTGGAAAGTCCAGTTTGTGCCAGTTGTTATTAACTTCCGAAGTTTTGGTATTGGCTTTTGATCAAAATTAATGTTTGTTCTAACGTATCATATAACTTGTTTCCAATTTATAACTGTAAGTGTATTAAATTTGATTTTATTTGAAGTAGATCAATTTACTATTATGTGTTAGGTATTTCGTCAAGATGACCATTGTAAACTCTTTAACACTTTGCTCATCTCATATGTACACGCTAAAAGCAAAAATTTATAGGTAGTATACTTTTTGACAGTACAATTATTTTGTCACAATAGATCTGGGTATTCTTCTTTTGATATCGATATTCTTCCACTTTTCTAAAATATATACATTGTTGAAAACCAATTACATATTATTATTATAGGCGTAAAAGTACTCGTAACCGGCGAGCATGTACGAAAAGATTGATGAATGTGGAAGAAGCGAAAGAGGTTTGTTTGAATCGAAGCATTTGGCGTTCCATTGTTTCTGCCTACCCTAATGGGAGACAGGCGTGACAGATATGTATGTATGTATTATAGGCGTGTAATCTCGGCATAGAATCGGCCACCTCTTTTCCGTGTGCGTCGTATTCCCTTAGTCGCCTCTGCGACTAAGGGAATTTAATGGTTGAGAGATAGACGGCAGCGTCCCTCTTAAAACATCACCAAAATCTAACCGCCGTTGCCAACCAGCCTACTAAGCGTGGCAACTATTGGCAAATACCCCTCTTGGAGGAGGTTTATGTTCAGTAGTGGACAGTTATCGACTAAAACTTTGATGATGATGATTTAAAACACATTAAAGAAGGTACATAAACCTTGTTAGGTTCAATAGTAATCTAATCTAGATAGATACAGACATAACTAGAAACGATGAAATAGAAGATAGATTTGATAGTTAATCGTTTTGAAATAGCCATATGTATTTAATATAAGAAAAAGTCTTTAATGCAATATGTGTTTCTTGAATATCTACGTTCGTCCGTCACATGTGCGATGAGGTGTTACGTGTTATACATAATTATTTACATAACCTGTAGGTAATTGAGTGTTTATCAATGCAAAACCTTGGCACACGTAGCGCGCCGCGGCGCGGTCACCGACATACACACCACGTGGAAACGTATCTGCGCTGCGTTCCGAGCGGACTGCGATACGAGTACACTGAAAGCTTCATTGTATTAATTTTAGATTTTATATTTAGGTCTAAAGGTGAATGGAATTTTCCTCAAATAGTTTGATAATATTTTCAAATGTATGCGTTTGCGTAAATGAGAGTCCTCGTGCGTTAGAGTTGTCGAAAAGTAAAATTTTTCAATTTTTAAGTTTCGATTCAGTTATGATCCGACTGTTTTTGAACACTAATCTCAGCTGTTCAAGCAGAGTGCGTTCTGTTTTTTAGTCCATCATATTGTATTCACCAGCTGTATACTAACAGTTGGCAAATAGTTGTATAATAATTAACGAATTAAGGAAATACGAAGGCAACGGCTTTTGGTATTAACTATGTATATGTAGGTTGTGAGTAAAGAATGATAAAGAAATTATATATAGGATGTAGTGGGAAGGGTAAAACAATCCTAAACCGAGTAACAGTATTCAAAAAAGTAAACAACTATCCCTAAGGAAGAGGCCATAATATGAAAATTTGTTTGAAAATTTCGTACTAAATCGATAACGCGATCTGTGTGGTTTGTACGAAAAGTTTCAAAATTATTTTTGTTTCGACGTTGAAAAGTTGGAAGTTGTTCGGTTTTCATGGATACTTGGTATCATTTGGATTAGGGTTGTTATATCCTTTACGTCTAAACCGGAATATATTTAGTACATAACAAGATCATGTATTTAGTAAAACCGTAATACACAAATTTGTAATACAAAATTTTAATAGAAATCATACTAATGAAACGACTAAAAGAATCTAAAGATTTGTATCACCTTTGTCATATCAGCCGTTAACTGTCCAATGCTGTAAATAGGCCTCCCCATAAGGAGGGTTTTGCCAGTAGTTGTCACGCTTGGCAGACGGGTTGGCGATCACAGTTAGGCTTTGGTGATGTTTTAAAATAAATCCTTCTGTCGATCCCTTGATTACAAAGTAAAAATTTAAAAAAAGTCTTGTATATTGTCTTTTTATTCTAACTCGCACAGGCAAAGCTTCGAGATAAAGCTTGTTCGTACTAAAGACTGAAGTTCACTACGTTCTCATTTTTTCGCTTATCAGACCAATTCTATATCTATTAATGTTTAAAGTACAAAACTCATCGCGTACGATTTTAATTCTTCTTAATACATTAGTAGGAAATTAATTTTTATAGGAATGTTAGCGCACGCTCTCTTCGTAGCAATAAAAAATTCTTCACATCCAGCTCATCGTTGTAGCTTCGTTCATTATTCTTTCGTCATTGAGGTCGTTAAACTCTCGAACGATTTACCCTTTGACTTTGAAAGAGTTACGAGTGAATTTTCATTCCATCGCATTGCACACATTTCGTGAAAGCATTTTATATTGTAGCGATTTGTTAAAGCAATATCAAGTTTCGATAGATAGATAGATAGATTCGAAGTAGAAGCTTCATAAAGGAATTCAAATGATGCCAAAAGAATATATATGCTTTTCAAATTTTATTTTTTATACCACAAAGGTGGTAAACAAGCATACAACTCGTCAACACTTTTCACGTACACGTTGCTGATCCTAAAGAAACCTTAACATACCCTATATTTACACACACACATTTATAATACGATACGTTTAATTGTCCATATAGTATGGGAAATTAAATCTAATGCTTTATGTTTCGTTGGAAAGAATATTCAGTTTACTGATAGTATTATATTATTTGGAAGAATGCTTACAATTTCTATTTCATCTTTGTACAATGATTTGATTAGAAGGTTGCATTTACAAATGTCCTAATGTACTGTAATGTGCAACCATTTAATTATAAATACGTATACGTTGACGGTTTGCAATATTTATTCTATGTTTATAAAGTGACAAGCGTATAAAGGAACGATTTCCACATTATTTCATAATTTATCATCTTACACGTTTTATGTTATTTCATACATTACATGAACAACCATGATTTATATTACTTATAAACTGTACTAGTGTGTATGTCGTGTGAATTTCGTGTGAAGTCGCGCAGTTTTTGGGTTATCGACACGAAATTGATTTTGGGAATTTGTTAATTAGTAGTCATAATATGTTGCAAAGACATACTACCTGAATGCGCTTGTTAATATGTAAATATAAAAATATTTTCGAAGTATTAAAAATAACAAAGGGAGTAATAACCACATAAGTAATAAAAAGACGTTTTTAATGTTTTATAAAATTTATAATATGCAAAGCTAATGTAACAAATTACTTAATGAAAAAAAGCGATTCATGCGTTAGTCCCGGTCACGGATTATCTCAAATTACATCCGTTCAGTCGTTTATATGTGATTGAGTTATAAACATTTGAACATCTCCGGAGACGCTCAAATCTTTAAATGATAATCTGTAACCTACGTGTGAAAGTTTGTAAAGATGTTTGAATGATTGTTACTCAATCAATGAAATCAATCGCGTTTAAACTAATACTTTTTATGATAGTTTATGCCCCGATTCACACGGGCAATGCCGCCGGAAACAGGTAGTTATAACAGTCGACTATAAATTTTATTAAGAAATGATTACAGGCGTGTGTGATCAATTAAAAAACCTTTTACCGTAGTTTCGAATGATATGAGCACCAAAGAAAGTGTAATTAGATTTGTGCCTGATATTTCTCATTGGCAAAGTGAAAATCAATTAAATAAAACAGCTAAAGTGGTTAAATACGCTTTAGAGATTAGATAATTGAGATTAAATATTTTTTCATCATGCATTTATGTATGTTATATGAGGAACCATTATTCAAAATTTTAAGTTTCTAGAATCATTATCAAATATAAGTTAGGCTGTGTGTTGTCTGTAATTTGTGAAAGTACTTCTTAAGTAGAGCTGTATACTTAACTTTATTCTGGCACTGCTGACAGTTAGACTGTAAAACTTGTTACAATTCTTTTACAGTAAAAGATTTTTGCAGGCGATGTAAAACTTAAGTAGTTTTTAACTTAAAACTTAATCATTATTATTATTAATACTGTCTCACAATCGAATGTTTTGTTGTATCTGTAAATTATTTTTTATTAATCTTTACCACTTGTCAATCGCATCATGCTATGATGAGTTGAATGAGAAATATAAAACAAACTAAAATACATTAAGCATGAATCATATTATTATTATATTCATGTTTCATTTCCAGCCATCGAAATTGAAGGAGGCGATGCGGTTTTTTGTATATTAAATTATAATGTAGTGACTCAGTATGTAATTTGTTAGCTACCGTTCAGGTGATGCTGAATGGATGTTATAGCAATTTGAATAGTTGTGATGAATTGTTACATGTGCGGGTGTGAGAGAGAGGGCATGATGACTTGACCATTGGCAATATTAATGACAGTGAACCAAATTGATTTTTAATAAATTTCGGAATAAAGATTGTCATTGGACGTTACTGTACGCATGTCACGTATTTGTGGCACAAAATTATAAAGATTGCTAGCTAGCAACCATTGCTTTGCCCCCTACCGTCACGTAAACGGCCCATTTTTTATCATTATAAAATATAGTCTTACCGTTTGGAGAAAAAAATCATATTTCCAAAATTGTATTAATATCGATTGAGCGAGACACTGGATCTTTTTACTTCATTAACACGAACCCAATATAAGTAACGCCTTTGTTCATAAAAATCAAAACCTTTTACAAACTTATTGTAGCTATTGAATTGTTTTGTCGTTTTTTTTTTCAAATTCAGAATTTTGTGCAAAAGTAAAAGAGAAAATACTTCAATAGCTAAAATAGGTTTATGTGAGTTTAGACGTTTTTACGAATAACGGGGTTAAACTATAGTTTGAATCAGTTTAACCACTAACTCGTTTCCAAGTAAGTCAAACGCGTTAATACTTCGGAGGTCGAAAGGATATTATGATTTCACTGTTTGATCTTATCAGTTTTGTTTCCGTTTATACTTTGCTTATGTAAAGACATTAACATTTTTGTATGAAAATGGAATGGTAACCATGCCTATCTTTTTTATTGGTTTACTCTGGTAGGAGTGTGGGTTAGCATGAATTCAGGTCAGTCCATCATAACGAATTGATATACCTATTAACTATTAACCGTGATCTTGTTCTGGAGAGATTGAACTCTGATAGAATATGAATGCTAACAATGGTCAACTGGGAACAAGGAGTTGTTAGTGAAGGCGATGTTAGTCCTCATTGCTAGCAATGCACACTATCAGTTTGACTTCTGTGTAGTTTCCTCTGGAAATCGTCGTTATTAATTCCTGGTGAATTGGTCACTATCAGTCAACTGGCCTGACTTCATTCTTATCTATCTTCCCTCACTGGTACATCGCCAGTGGTATTTACCTTTAGAGCACGCATGGGGTTACCGTTCCATTATCATCCATTAAAAGCAATGGTCCACCAGTTTCTATTACTGACAATCCTCTCCCCTCTGAGATCGTTACATGAAGCATGCACCGCTTTAATAACACTATCACCTAACAAGCTATTGTTTTCTATTGCAGGCCCCTAGTTGCGTTACTAGACGGACGCGACTGCACAGTAGAGATGCCAATACTGAAGGACGTGGCGACAGTTGCGTTCTGCGACGCGCAGTCCACCTCAGAAATACACGAGAAAGTGCTGAACGAGGCGGTCGGCGCGCTCATGTGGCATACGATCATACTTACCAAGGAGGACCTGGAGAAATTCAAGACTTTGAGGATTATCGTCCGCATAGGCTCCGGGGTGGACAATATTGATGTCAAAGCCGCCGGGGAATTAGGTATGTTCGTCATTTTTTTATTACTTTTTTTTATTCAACTTGGAGTGTTTGATGGCCCACCTAATCACCTAATGGAAGGTGGTAACCATCGTGTGTAGACTTGAACACAGCACTATTGACGTCATAGAATATATTGCAATACCCATGGTACTGCTTGTGTGCTGTCATTTGCATTACTAAGAAATTATAAAGATTTCATGTATTTGTGACGTTAAATTCTAGGTTCTGAACAAAGACGTTGTCTAGTTTATATATATACTTGGAAATGGGTGTTGGTTTTAGAGACAGGTCTTTGCAAATATACTGTAAATTATTGCAAAATTTATTCTGTTTTATATTTTAAATAGAGATAAATAGAAGATAAATATTTGAATTGATCTATTCTATTCTATATATGTTGTTATGTTATCCAAATTAATTTAATAAAATCTTTTGAATAGTATGCAACTTTTAGGCTACAATTACTTTTTGAAATCATATCCATATTATAAATACTTTATAAAATGTTAATAACTCGTCGGAGTTTATCCGTTTTCGTAACAGGGATTAGTAAATAATAAGACCAACCAGGCATTAGTTGAATTGTATTGAATTGTAGTGGGATTTGGGTATGTAATGAAATGAACTTTCAAAATAATACCTAATTAAATAAAAGATAAATGAAAATATTTAAGTAGAATAGGGCTTAGCACCTTGTCATGATAATTCACGTTACTCTTATCAACTTACTTATTGGAATATGCGCTGTCATGTTCACGTCGTAGTATCGGTATGCGCATACATATCTATGGAGTTGATAAGTGTGACGATATTATGGTATTATGGTGACATTTGTCCACAGTATGTGTATATACTTATGTTCTTTTAGCACTATAAAACTGACATGGCAAAATATTTTATGTTTATAAATTTTATTCAATTAGGTTTTATTTTATTTTACAGAATTTGTTTTGAAGCAGTTGAGTTAGCATGGTCGTTTCGGTTTGAAGGGTGGAATATGGCAGTGAATTTACAGGGCACTTTAGTTCTCAGGAATGGCAACTCATGGGGGATATCATGGGCGAAATAGTATACTCTGTTATGTCTATGGTACTGCTCATGTCTATAGGCGACGGTTACCACTTTCCATCAGGTGGGCCGTCAGCTTATTTACCATTCTAAGTTGCATAAAAAGTCCATATATCGCTGGTTGATTAGTCAGTAGTCTGAGGTTGATAACTAATATCGAAGTTCATGGTTTCTTAGAGAAATTTATAATTGTCAGTACTCTGCACAAAATGTTGGTAGTCGCATGCATTCCAATGGTACCTGGATTCTTAGCATCCTTATATCATGTCCAGTACCATGACTTTCCTCTATGTAGTGGTGAGTCGTCCAACACTATGTTTATCAGTACAATGTCGCCATTTGAAAATTATATATTTACCGCCAATTAAATGTATCCGTTCTTATTATTCCAGGCATAGCTGTATGTAATGTGCCGGGTTACGGCGTAGAAGAGGTAGCGGACACGACGATGTGTCTCATATTGAATTTGTATCGGCGGACGTACTGGCTCGCAAATATGGTGCGAGAAGGGAAAAAATTCACAGGTAAATGTCACTACACACTATACAAACACACTATATTATTTGGAACCGTCAAAACAACAAGCGTTAGCTTGTATTTTGTTTGGAAACAAAATACAAGCTAACGATAGAGTTCAGAGGAAATTTGCGCGTGTTCTATATAGTAAAGTTTATGGCTACTATCCTTATTTGTACCCATCGCTGTTCGTATCCGGTATGGTAGGTCTAGAAACGCTCGAGGTAAGGCAAAAGTGTAATTTGATGATGCACTATTAACTGCAACTCTCAGCCGTTATTTTTTGTACGCACCCCCAACGTGTTTGTCGATTACTATCGGCACCGCCGGTTCGCACCTGTACTGCTCAGTTTGCTCCCACTTATCAAGCTATTTCTCCGCTCAATTCTCTGATTGCTCAGCAGCCAGATATTGATATATTTAATGACAAAATAGATACATTTTTAAAATGTTGTATAAAATTTTTAATAAAAGTTTGTAAAATAAAACCATGGTTCCCTACACGTTTTGGGATATTGTAAGTGTGGTGAGTAATTTATAAATAAATAACTAAAATACACACACACTATACACACAACGCTACCTTGTCTTTTTCTTATTGGGTGAAAATAAAATAATGATCCCGCTTGAGCTATCGGTATACGCTAAAGTGAGAGAGGACAGGTAAGGTTGGATAGCAGGTCTATTGGCCGTCGTAACGAATTCAATCGCCCATCGTAATAAATTTAAACCATGGTGCTTTCCAACGCGAACCGCGTGGAGGGTGACTTGATAGGGCATATTGTTAGCAAGGGAGATATTAGCCCCATTATTACTCCCTGTCCCTCAGTGCTTATCTAGTCCTAAACTGAGCATAGCATGTACTATGAATATACTAGACGACTGATATACATAAATAAGTTTTTTTTTTTTTTTTTTAAGTTAGATATTATGCATAAATTAATAGAAGCAAATAATCTTGAATGAATGTAGATAGTGAATATTTGTAACTTATAATAGTCACTCGCGGATTGATGACCCTTATGTTGTTATTCAAAAAAATTTTGGATTCACTGGTAGACTTTAATAAGATGGTAATGATTTTCATTTCATCCTGTATTTATACTGCAGTGTGCATAGTTCGTTATCATAATTAACTTTACAACCGGTAAACTAACATTCTAACTGGGTGCTAGTCACTGTGAGACAAGGCGATTCGGTAGTTTTTTTTTTTCACTGATGTATTGTGCTTTGTTTTTCTGTTTCATGCCTCGAGCGTACCTAAGAAGCCGTTTCTCGATGACTTAATATATTTATTATACTTATATTTCTTGTACTGTATTACAAACGTTTTCTATCATCAAACTTTAATCTTACATCTTAGTATGTCTCTACATGTATGTCAGAAAAATTTATAAGTGGGATCTTAATTACATATTTAGTACTAATTATTTACTTAATTATTAAGTAATAAAAACCAAAATATTTTTTAGAGATTTTGTCTTTTAGTATCTATGTTTGTTTTGGTATTACACAATAACTATTGTACCAAATTAAATGCGGTTTTAATAGTTGTGCTTCCGATGATGTCTTAAAAAGTGATGTGATATGTTTTATCTTGATACACAATCTAAAAGGTGTTCTTTTTTATTTATTTTTTTCTTAAATTTTCCTTTATGTAGTAGCGATCAAAATGCTAAATATAAATATAAAGATGAAATGTATAAATAACATTTTACAAAACCATAGCCATCTGAAAAATTCTTAATTTATAAAATTTAAGGTTATGAGAAAAGCAACAGTTTTTTTTTTTGCCCGTTTTCCTTAGCTGAAATTACATTCCGAATGGGCGGTAAAATCGTTAAAAATTACTATTTGAAAATATTTAAATTTATGTAAATAAAAACTATTTCCTTTTTTCTTAATAGTGAAATAAAATGTGACAAAATGCTGTCTATTATAGCTAACACTATAATTTTTTTTAATGGGTGAAAATAGATTGGCAACCTTTGCCTTCGCTGTTGGTTCTCGCTGACGGGCTATCAGGGAATAATGGTAGGCGAGAATCAAGTCAGTTAGCCCGTCATCATAATTTTTTGAGAATTAGTCATAACGGTTTCCAGGCGGGACCGCGTGGAGGTCTACCTGATACAATATATTAAGAGATTACTTTTAGCGATAAAACCGCATTTTGTACATGCACATTCTGTATAAACATGTATATTCTTTATTGCACTTGTAAATTACATTGTTAATGCTTTTATAAATGTTCTGAGCAAGGGTGTACTTATCTCTGACAGAGATCTCTTCCAGTCAACCCAATACAGTTGTAAAGCATGTTGTTAGCGGGCAGCTAAAGTGCAACCACTATTAATACTCCGAATGCGAATTATATAGTATTTATATAATAAATACTCATTGTATATAACTATTTATTAATTTATTCTTTATTGACCACATTACAAAAAAATTTCTGGTACAAAAGGCGGACCTATATAGCATTCTCTCCCAGTCAACCTTTGGCAAAACAGAAATTTAATTATGTGGTTATTATATTTAAGTATCACAACACATACAATGGAGAACTACTTCACATTGTGATTAAATAAATATACATACATGAATACATTAAACAAATATTACATAAATATACAAATATTGCAGGGCCGGAGCAGGTCCGCGAGGCGGCGGCCGGGTGCGCGCGCATCCGCGGCGACACGCTCGGCATCGTGGGGCTCGGCCGCATCGGCTCGGCCGTCGCACTGCGCGCCAAAGCCTTCGGCTTCAACGTCATCTTCTATGACCCCTACCTGCCCGACGGCATCGAGAAGTCGCTCGGACTCACTAGAGTTTACACCTTGCAGGTGAGCGCTTTACAATAAATACCAATAATAGTAATATACTACGCTAGTAGTAAACTAAACTGTAAATAATAATAGCCTAACATGCGTAAAGTAGTAAGCATTGGACGTGAGGGTCACGTCTCGTGGTTAATTAGTTGCTGTAGCCGAATGAATGTAAACAAACTCTTGATGTACACAGATTCATATGTTGCATTGAAATTATAAGGTAAACAATAAAATTATGCATTCATTTCTAACCAGCCAGTGATGTTTGTTGTATTCCGAAGTGTTTCTATAAATTTTGAAAAAATATAACATCTAAAAAGACATGTAGATTCATTATCTTATGTATAAAAATTCCGTACCGCAGTGTTTGTAGTCGAATTCCTCTGAAACCGTTCGACAGATTTTTCTGAATTTTTTTCTATATATAAATGGTAGGTATGAGAATAGGTCGTATATTTCATATCGCTAAGTGATTAGGGTGTCCCCATCCAGAAAAATGTACTTACATGACAGAATTAAGTTTGCCGGTTCAGCTAGTATTATATATAAAAAATGTTCCAATCTGCACATTGTTATTTTTAAATTTTACACGTACTTTTTCCTATGATAAGTAATCTCATATATGGTAACAATTTAAGTTTAAATATGATGTTTGATGTATGGAATGAATCTTGAAATTTTTAATCTTGGTCCAAATATTTTGCACTTTCGCGATATACATTATGGTTACTACAATCATCTTGAACTGTGTTCAGCATCTGAAGTGTTTCGGTTTGAAGGGGTATGGCAGTGAATTTACAGGGTACAGAGGAATAACACCTGAGTTCTCAAGAATGGCAACGCATGAGGGGTATCATGGGCGAAACAGTACACTCTGTTATGTCCATGGTACTGCTCATATACGAGGTCTGTCCGGAAAGTTCGTATAAAAGTGTTCTGGAATGCGAGAAAGAGGAGTGGGGAGGCCAGGTAAGCGCAGGACCCCTTCCTTATGTCCCTAACAATGCTTCAGTTCTGGTCTGACCGCCGTGCGGTGCGAACTGGCTTGTCACGCCATCTGTGAAGTTACCTCTTAACGAAACCCCGTCGGCATGGAGCCCGCTTCCGTTGAAGAGCAGCGCGTCGTAATCAAGTTTCTCTCGAAACTCGGCAAGAATGGCCGTGAAATTTTTGCCGATCTCAGAACAGTTTATGGGGATGATGCTGTGAAGGAACCAACCGTCCACAAGTGGCTAAAAAGATTCAGAGAGGGCCGAGAAAGCGTTCAAGATGACCCACGTTCAGGACGTCCTTCCACTTCACCAGTTCCAGACAGTTGATGGAAAATTCTACGTCGATGTGCTCAGACGCCTCAAAGCTCGTGTGGCACGAGTTCGTCCAGAATTGGCGCGAGAGGGGCGTTGGATTCTTCACCACGACAATGCCCCTGCCCACACCTCTCTTGTTGTCCGTGAGTTTTTGAGTAAAAATTCCATTACGGTGACCGAACACCCCCCTATTCGCCGGATTTGGCCCCGTGTGACTTCTTCTTGTTCCCAAAAACCAAATTGGTACTTCGGGGGCGGCATTTGGGGGACATAAATGAGATAAAAAAAGCTACGACGGGGCAGCTGAGAAACCTACAACCAGAGGACTTTCAAGGAGCCTTCTCACAGTGGAAACGGCGTTGGCACAAGTGCATTATGTCACAGGGGGAGTACTTTGAAGGGGATAAAATTGATTTACCTGAATAATTGTAAAATAAAATTTTTAAAAAACTTTTATACGTACTTTCCGGACAAACCTCGTACGTACGCTCAGGTACGTCTATAGGCGACGGTTGCCACTTTACATCAGATGGGCCGTCAGCTTGTTTGCAATTCTAAGTTGCATAAAAAAAATAACACAAAATTTTATTGTGTGTTAAAACAGAGTGCATAGATCACATTTTAGAAAAAAAATGATAGTACTAGAGAGGATTATGTAAATATAAATGTAATGTTATTAACATATAATAATTGTTTGCATTTCAGGACCTTCTATTCCAGAGCGATTGTGTATCACTGCACTGCAGCTTAAACGAACACAATCATCACCTCATCAATGAATTCACTATTAAACAAATGCGCCCAGGTATGTTGTGATATTATATTATACTAGATGTTGCCAGCGACTTCGTCCGCGTTTCCGTCGTTTTTCGTAAAATAAGTAGCCTATGTCCTTCCTCATGGTTCAGTGTATTGATGTAACACACATATTTCTCTTCACTGCTCAGCTCCTATTGATCGTAGCGTGATGAAAAGTATACTATAACCTGCCCAGGAGTATGAAGTATAATTGTACCAAGTTTCGTTAAAATCCGTCGTGTAGTTTTTATTTCTATAACGAACATACAGACAGACAGACAAAATTTTTACTGATTGCATTTTTGGCATCAGTATCGATCACTAATCACCGCCTGATAGTTAATTTGGAAGTATATTTCATATTTATTATAACTATAGATAGATAGATAGATAGATATTGACTGTCCTGTGTATTGAAGTTTGCATTTAATATTGAACTTTATGGTTATGAGTTTAAGGTTTTTTTTTTATATTTATCGAAAAAAATATGATTTCAACTTTGACGCAGTAATAAGTATCCATAACGGCACGACATGTAGTATGAAGATGAACACTTTAGACATATCCTAGATATAAATATTAGAAGTATTTATATAAATAATAAACATTATTGTGACAGTTTTCCAAATGTACTAGGTGTAAAATATAATGCAGCACGGCCACGATATCGTACTATTTTTTCATGACGGTATTTTTCACGGCGACGTTATGAAAGGTATACGCGTGAAACAAAACTTGACAGTGTTTCTATACATTGGTGATGGTAAAGTCGATTGTACGATTATTATTATATCGGTCGTTAACTATACATACATACATATCTGTCACGCCTGTCTCCCATTAGGGTAGGCAGAAACAATGGAACCCCAAATGCTTCGATTCAAACAAACCTCTTTTGCTTCTTCCACATTCATCAATCTTTTTATACACGCTCGCCGGTTACGGGTACTTTTAACTATCCACTACTGAATATAGACTTCTCCCATAGGGGGGGGGGTTGTCAATAGCTTCCCCGTTTGGCAACCGGAATTAGACTTTAATGATATTTACTCAACTATTAAGTTCCTTTAATCACCTCTTATTACACCCACGGAAAACAAAGGGATTGCTCATTCTATGTCGGGAATATACGGCGATAGTACGATATCGTATTAATTGTTACCTAAATTGATTATTTTTGGTTACGATGGTTTGGATACGACTAATGATCGCGTGTACGGCGGCGGTTACAGGCGCGTTCCTGGTGAACACGGCGCGCGGCGGCCTCGTGGACGACGAGGGGCTCGCGGCGGCGCTCAAGCAGGGCCGCATCCGAGCCGCGGCACTCGACGTGCACGAAAACGAACCCTTCAATGTATTCCAGGTACTGGCCGCTTTATCTCACCACAGGGGGGAATGTTTTACTGAACTAGATGTTCTTTTGCGCCAAGTAAGTCACCTAGTTCTGTAAAAAAATCCCCAAATTAATTGATTACAATTATCTTGTTTAATTTGCAATTTAAATATTTTTATTCAACTAACAGTTATTGTTGTTGTTGAATTTGTCACGATGAGCAATTTGACGTCACGAGGGTGGGGGGGTACGATGCTATGGAATGCAATATACTCAGTCGCTGTTTTAATGACTGATATGGAATGGTAACACCTCCTTCGGTGTACGCTGACGGGGAGCTAGTGAGACATGAAAGATAAGGAGGAAAGTGGATCAGCTAGCTCATCGTGACGAATTCCACAAGAATTAACCAAGGTGGTTTCAATGTTAACCGTTAATGTTGGAGGATGTATTGCAAGCAATGGAACTTCTATATTTATTTTATATCTATGTATAGATCTCCATTACTAACAATCCAGAATGAACAGCATCATAGCCATCGCCGAATATACTGTGTCGTCCATGGTATCTGTCGTTCGTTGCTGACACATTGCGTTCCCCGGCAGGGCCCGTTAAAGGACGCGCCCAACGTGCTGTGCACGCCGCATGCCGCCTTCTACTCGGATGCGTCCGCGCAAGAGCTGCGCGAGATGGCCGCCTCCGAGATAAGGCGCGCCATCGTCGGCCGCATCCCTGACTGCCTGCGCAACTGCGTCAACAAGGTGCGTACACATACCGGACTGCTAATGCGCTCTGAAAATGATGAGGAAAAGGAATAGCAATTGATTTATTGGGAAGTTTTACAAAAGTAGTTTTACGTTTGTGAGATAAGCATATGTCGTTGTTGTTATTAATAACGGTAAGATTAAATTCAGTGACATTATTTTTTAATATATGTAAGAGAAGAAAAAATAATATTTGGGATGAATTGATTTTACTAGATATTGCAATATTTATATATGTTCTATTCATTATGTTTCGATACTATACGAATCTATCGGTGTACATTTTTTTTTATATACAACTTAGAATGGCTAACAAGCTGACGGCCCAACTGATGGAAAGTGGTAACCATCGCCTATAGACATGAGCAGTACCATGGACATAACAGAGTATACTGTTTCACCCATGATACCGCCCATGCGTTGCCATTCCTGAGGACTCAGGTGTTATTCCTCTATACCCAGTAAATTCACGCCATATCTTACCCTTCAAACCGAAACATAGCCATGCAAACACAACTGCTTCACGGTTGAAACTCGAATGGGACAGAGGTACCCAAGCAGTCGTCTTTTGTACAAAGTCTCTCTGTTTATAGTGAAATGAAATAGAATGAGTTGGTAACAGTAATGTTTGGTCGTGCAGGACTACTTCCTACCGGGCGCAGTGGGCGGCGTGGGCGGCGTGGGATCGGTGGGATCGGTGGGCGGTGTGGGTGTGGGTGGCGTGGGCGTGGGCGTGGGGTCGACGGGCGTGCTGCCGGCGGCGCCGCTGGCGCAGCCCGCGCCGCCGCCCGCCACCTACAGCAGCGAGGGCATCAACGGCGGCTACTACGGCGCCGGCGCGCAGGCCGCGCACTCCACCACCGCCGTGCACGAGCCGCCCGCGCTGCCGCCGCAGCCCGCGCCGCCGCCGCCGCAGCAGCCGCCCATCACGTTGGTGCGTACTGCACCTCCCCATAACCTCCACTCGTTCCTGTTTCCAACCAGGCTCACCTCACTACAACCTCATCTGTTGTCGCTCACTGATGCCCCACTAGCGTTTACCCATAGCACAGGCGGAGTTAGTTTAGATTCATTATAATGTAGTTCGTTCGTTCTCGGTCCAATCTCGATCTTGTAAAATATTACCTAATATAAATGTTTCGCTGAAATGATGATAATCAACATTTTTAAATAATCGTGACTAGAATGAAATCATTTAGAGTATGAATTGTTTCTTAATAATATTTTACCAGAACAAGTTCAGACTGAGAACAAACTATCATAGACAATGGGAACTAGCTCCACTTCCATGCAATTCTTCTAAAAAAGTAGTGGTTAATTTTTAATGACTACATAACGAGAAGCCATCCTACATACTTAATAGCTATCTCATAGGATCGCGTAGAAACGTAATGTATTACCCGCACTATACCTCAATGCATAGACTAGTTCTTAATAGATTTTTAGTAAATACAAAACATCCAATTCAACACAAACTAACATATTTATGAGTGATTTTCATATTGTATGAAGAATATTAAACTTAGAACTGTCGGAAGGTGGAAAGCATGTAATTTTTAATACGAGTTGAAATGACAAACGAGCTGACAACTCCAGAGATTAAAAATAGTAACTTACTACAAAAATGGACGTCACAGAATACACTCGACTCCTATCATGTCATGCATTACGATTTCTGAGGACTTAACGCAATGTTCTACAATACCCAGTAATGTGTAAAAAAAAATTGCGTAAAAGTATGCATTGACTCTATCCTTTACATCATTAATGCATGCATTGTATCTTCTATATGAGCTGCATAAAAAAAATATGAAAGAATTGAGAAAAACTTCTATTTTAAAATTGTCAGAAATGACACAACAGTGACTTTTGCAAGTATCTGATACATATTTCTTACTACATCAATGTTCATAACATGTCGTATGCATACTACACACCTTTTCCGGAGCCCATGACCTATCCATAACACAGTACATAAAGGTAGTATGACTGTATACTAACGAGAGTGATACCTCCCACCAGTGAGCAGTGGTGCCTTCCGTATCTTAAATTCCGTATCTTTACGTGTTACAGTCTGGCTTCGCACAAATACATATAATTTTTGAAAATAATGTATGTTACTTACAGATAATGTAAATTTTTATAGGTGGGAATAATTCTTAAAATTAAATTAATTTCTCTCCTCCTAAAGGCGTAGTAGTTCAGGAAAAGTAATGAATTAGCGTTATCTCGTTAACCTATTTTTCTCTTTGCAGCCAATGAACACCTCTGACCCGGCGAATCATCAGCTGAGTAAGCAGGAGAGCTCCGACGTCCATTAGGCGACGGCATTACGCTACGTTACAGTACCGTACAGGTGGAGCGACTAAACAAACATACAAACAATAGTTTTATTGATTCCAACGCAACTATGTCATAAGTACCTATGTCGTAAGCCAACGAGTGATATATATGTATGTGTGCGCCGTTTGCATTGAGGCGTCAATGCAAACAGTTTGACTTGTAGCTTCGCGGCCGCCACCACACGTACTGTGGTCCTCTAAGAGCTGTTAGGCTCTGTACGTCTGCTCAGAATCAGTTTGTTTGACAATAAAAAATATTTACAACTATCATCGTCGTGGTTACAAAGAATACATTTTTATAGATCGATAATGAAAAACCGATTCAGTAGCATAAATGAAAAGTAAACGCGAATAAGCTAACGCTAAACCTTGCTAATGCATAAGCTTAAAAACATTACGTGTGTGTGCTTATACTATTAAAATGTATTTACGTCCCCAGACAATCGTTTTAAGGAGTAATTTTTGTATGTGAATATTTTGTACGAGTGGACACGTCTCAATGCGAACGGTGCGTTACCGAGAGATAGCTGATTGTGTTTGTAATTGGTAAGTTGGGACAGCTATTATATAAATACTGTTATATGTGAAGTGCGTGCACAATCGCGGGCCGATTTGTGAAAGTGGCCACGTGGCGTGACGTCACGTCCGCCCGCGACGGAGCCGAGCGGGAGACGCCGAGGTCCCGGCGGCTGCAGTCAAGCATTTGATCGCATTTTACCGAGCAAACATCGCCCCCCCCCCGGTCCCCGGTCCCCGGTCCGAGATCACAGCGCGCATGCGTACGAACTTATTTTTAAGTATCAAACAATGGACTGTAGTAGAATTCTATCATCACATTTTTTTTTTATTATTGAATGTACAAAATCATGCTTTCTTTGATTATATTTTTTTTTTCTAAATAGAATTTAAGTGACGAATTTGTACATGAACACCACGAATAGGCGCGTTACCTTTTAACCACCTGTTTTAAAATCGTGAGCATCGGTATTTAAAATTAGTATTTACTTACAGTTTAGTTTAATGACAAAAACAATGTGTATATTTTATGAGAAAGTGAAAAAGTTCTTAAATAAAACTATTGTTTTCGGATTAATTACTTTTAGTGTTTTATTTATTTTGTTTCACCCTTTGTACAACATCTGTCTTGGAAGAGACGGATGATACAAGAATTGAAATATAATAACAATAAGAGATCAGTTGAACACAATAACATGTTGGCCCTCAAACTGTATTCCATGTTAATAAAATACGTAATAATTCATGTAATTCGAGGGTCTTATTGGCACAACAGAATACTAATAAATTATCTAAAAAATGTTGGAAGCATAATCTATACAAGTATAAAGTATATATAATATAAAAACAAAACTATCAGTCTAGTGTGTCAATAAATTACAAGTTAATTTGGTCGCCTAATTTCTGTTAAAACAATTTGATAAGTCATTTCCGAGGACCAGAGGGGGCCTACCAAGAAAAATTTTTAGTAATTTCGGAAACAATTTTAATGTTAAGATTACATAATACATACCGTTTAAAATAATAAAAAATGATAAAAATCGTTCCTTTCGACTGTTATAGTAGGATTTATGATGAACGAAATATTAAGCTTCATTTTATCGTAGACCCCCAGGTCCAAAAAAAATCATATCACATTAAGAGTTGCTTTTGCCTAACGCGTAAAGAGCGTGGCGTTAAAAGTTATACAATATCGCTACAAAAAGTTCATTAAAACACAGGCCTGTGTATATTTTTAAAAAATTGTGTCAAATTCTGCTTCCTTCAAAAAGAATTTGGAAAGAAGCTGAGTTTGTTGAACCCGTATCCACATTGAGGCTTTAATAGAATACTTATCGTATTGTAACAGTAAATTGCATAGTCATAAATAATTGAAAATTAGCTTTTATTGACATTTACTAGGTAGATTTACATTCAGAAAAGTATTGATTTGGAATAACCAGGTTTGTACGTAAATAATATTTGTAAGATATAAAGCAATCGAGTTTAGGACATATCAAAATTACGTTAAAAAAAATCTATGTGATCCGACGACATTTTTGGCAAAACTAGACAAAAAATTACGATGGGAATATCTATGGCTGGAATACAAAGTAGTCTATGCCACCTACTACGTGTATAACAAATTTTATGATGACGGTTGGTAGGATTGTAAGGCACCTAGAAGTACCAATTAGATAATCCACATTACAAAGAGTAAAGAACTTTGTGAATAATTGACTTTAGCCAGGTGGTAAAATTAAAAAAATATTAACGATGACGTCGGTAGCTTGCCATACAGTACATGCTGTACCTACAGGATATTATTTTAAGGTAAATATCATTAGTACTCGCGAATTGTAAGCTAAAACAAATGTGGCTGAAACTCAAGTTCTTCTCACGGAAGTCTAACTATGATTATCGTATGATATTTACCTGTTTTCAATAGCTGTGGAACGAAACTGTTAATCAAGACATTGAACAATACGAAAAAATGGATTTATCAAATATTGGAATTGAAAACAGCTTAGTGGTTTCATCTAAGGTGATTAAAATACTGAGCTCGATACTGAATTTTATACATTGTATAAGCGATGTCATCTGAACAGTATTTTTCTAAAATCATCTCTTTAAAAATGTTAAATTTACAGATATGTTTAGAGAAAGCAATTTCAGAGTTATCTCTTTCACTCTGCTTGAATGAGGTGGAAACCGCTTAAATATTGTAGATAAATCAGAAAAATATTAAGTTTTAGATAGGCGCAGTATTTTACTTGCGGAATCAGTCTCCTATCCAGGATAGATTATTTGTAAGAACATGTTCTTGCGTATAATCTAAGAGTCTATTTTGAAAACTAACAACATTTACTGTTATATCACGAAAGAATTTAGGTTGGTAGGACACCTCATTAAAATTATATGCGATGCGTTACAACCCAATGCGACCCAATTAGGTATGAATTTGTTTCATCGTCTGCACAAAATTTCAATCAAAAGCCTGAATTTGGTACACTTCATAATAGATTACAATGCTCTATTTATGATCTACGGAAAACACTGCAATCCACAAAATTTTACTTGATAAAATTTGACATTCCAGAAACACGGGAGCTACTAAATTACCACTCGACTAAATAACGCAATCTGTAGGTTTCACACTACTTCCGCATTAGAGGATCGATTGCAGTTATTTCCTTATAACCCTAATATGCACACTGCATGTGAGATTATAGGTAATTGACCACTTATGGCTGAGTGGCCTGTGACGGCGGCGACGGCACTCGAAGACGCCGCGCTTCGTCCGCATCTAGAGCTCTCTTCATCTCGTAGTATCGCTGTTTGAACGAATTCAGTTCATTGTTCACTCGATCTAGTTCCAGTCTAAAGTCCGCCACTTGCTTCTCTCGCATACTTAGTTCTGTGAATATGATATTGTATATGTTGCAGTCAATACTCTTAACCAGTCAAAAGTACTTTTGACTAAATGATTCCGTCAAAAGTTGTTTTGACTAGTTGTATCAGTCAAAACTCTTAAAAAGTCCTAACCTAAAGTTAGTATGTTTTCTTTGTATTGATTGTAATGCCAAATTTTTCGTAATAAACGATTTCACATTTAATAAATATCTTTTTTATTCACATCTAACGAGTTAATAGTGCTTTTGACTGATGCTTTATTGCAGTTAAAACTACTTTTGACGAAGAGCGTCAGTCAAAAGTACTTTTAACCGCAAATTTGCAGTCACAAGTACTAATAACCAATAATTTTAAGTCAAAACCACTTTTGACCAACCTGTTCAGTCAAAAGTACTTTTGACTGATTTTGCTATTCAATAGTTATACTTTTGACTGGTTAAAAGTTTTGACTGCAACATATAACATACATTTGTGATAGGGTTCCTATATGTTTTTGGAAACGTATGAAAGAACAAATGTTGAAATTTGCGGATTCGTTTTTACTTAGACACATGGTGGTGACAATTTATCTATAAGTGATTATTAGTAGCTGTAACCCATAGCTTCCCGTATAAATCATATGAAGTATCCTGTATTCTAAGTTAGGATATAAACTATTCGTGTGCCAAATCTCATTCAAATTCATTCAATAGTTTTTCAATGAAAAATAACCAAAAAAACATACTGTTCCATTTGGGAATTATTTGTTTGTGAAATAAAGATGATAACGGAATTGCTAGTTTCGTTTATTAGGCATGACAATGCAAAAAGGAGAATTAATGATGGCGGCTACTCGACCAAGAACCAAAGCCAAAAACAAGATAATAAATTGATAACCGAAGCACGAATGGTGCGAGAGGTTCGTAAACTGTCATGTGTCATAGATTTAAAGCATAGACACATACCATTCATACACATAAACTTTCGCGTTTAAAATAGTATTAGGATTTGTTTGTGTATAGGAGCAGAGTATTAAATTTGCAAAAACTTAAAGAATGTAAGTATATAGTTGAAAATTACGTAAGTACTTACCTGCTATTAAACATTTCATCTTAGTAGTTCTCTGTGCTAGTGCTCGTTGCGTGCGAGTTAACGTTTGCTGAAAATGAAAAGTACATTGGAAAAATTTATACAGGAATATTTTAAGTTCTCACCCTCCAAAATTACCCCTTCTAAAAGATTCGTAAGTATACATTACTAGCTGACCCAGCAAACGTTGTTATGCCATATACATTATTTGGAGAATATTTTTTAGTCCATTAAAAAAAATATTGGGGAGGGTCACCCTTATCATTGAGGGGTATGAAAAATAGATGTTGGCCGATTCTTAGACCTACCCAATATGCACACAAAATTTTATAAAAATCGGTAAAGCCGTTTCGGAGGAGTTTGGTAACAAACACCGTGACACGAGAATTTTATATATATTTCAATGTAATAACTGTTTAATTTTTTTTTGTTGGGTGAAAATGATATGGTAACCCCGCCTGCGCTAATGGGATACGCGGGCCGAGCACCAGTGAAGGGTGATAGATGAGAATGAAAACAGGCCAGTTAGCCCATCATGATGAATTCATCAGGAATTAACCATGATAGTTTCCAGGGGGAACCGCGAGGTGGTCGACCTGGTTGGGTATATTGCTAGCAATGGGATTCTCAGCCTCCATTACTAACAATCCCTTTCCCCCCTATCCGTTTAATTTACGTGTATTTCTGTTGATAAAATTTGCACTCGCGTCACGGCCGCTCAAGTCTAGTGGCCCCGGTAGGTCCGGAAACTAGTCAAGCCTTCTTAAGTACAAGTAAGTTAATTTGGTTGTTATTATATTAAAATAAAATCAAAACTAATGTCACAAGACGCGAATCCTTAATATTCCAAACGTGAAAGTGAGTTTAATAGCCCAACTAATGGTCATTATATGACATACATTTTGAATTAAGAACAGTTTTTGCGTGGTCCCGCCATAGAATGTGCCAGTTCATGGGATGGCATATCAGTTAGTCCATCGTGACAAATTCCACTAGGATTAACCACGATGGTTTCCAGGGGGAACCATGTGGAGGTCGACCTGATAGGGTGTATTGCTGGCAATGGGTCAATAAGACCCCATTACTAACAATCCCTTTCCCCCCTTTATCCTGGACTTAGGCACGAAGTCTCAACTAAATATTAACTTTCAGTCATTTAAGATATAGATATACCTGTATGTCTGGACTGGGCTGCAGGGCCAGCATATCTTTTACAGCAGTGTACAGATTGCGCGTTTCCTTTAGCTCGCGATCTTTCATCACCAACATCTCACTCTGGGCCAGGACTTTCCTGACAACAACCGCTGCAATTAATTGTAGTTACCTTACTTATATTAGTTATGTGGTGTTTAATCAATAAAAAAACAAAACAATGAAACGTCAAAAAATTGTCGATCCACTTATACTAACTTAGCAGAGCCGCGTTAATCATGTCGTGACCCCTAAGCAATGAATGAATGAGTATACTTTTGCATTATACAATATATAGAATAACTGAGGCAACATACATAACGATACAATTGTATAAGTACAGTAAGGCGGTCTTATTGTTGAGAGCAATCTACAATGAAGCAATGCAAGTCTTGTTTTAAAAAAACTGCTATAATATTATTCTTTACTATTATTATATATAATAACCTGAAATACAAAATGATAGTCACATATATTTTATTTAAAGAAAATTTCTCGAAAATAAATAAAAATGAGGTCGACCTGACAGAGTAGGTACATTGCTAGCAATGGGACTGATAGTCCGTATTCCTAACAATCCCTCTCCCCCTTTACCTAATGGTAGCTAGTACAGAATACCATATGGCATTAAGTTCGCCATCTGTACAAAGATTTATTGTGCAATAAAGAAAAAATAAATAAGGAAAAAAATTCATACATTTTCGATCATACCCGTAAATAAAAAACAACGCATAAAAACAAATCAAAGTCAGTTTTAAAATATTCAAATGAACCCCCGTTATGATACCGCAGTTGGACTAGTAGTTGTGTAATCTTGAGCATCTGTTTTGAATCCCCTAGCAAAAAAAAAAAAAAACTAAAAATATTTTTTTAATTAATTTAGTAGTAATAATTGTAAGGCAGTAATATGTAAAGCTATTCAAAATATCAAATTTATATCATTAGCAGTTTCTGAGATATAACGCTGTTAAAGACGGACAGAAGGACAAGTCGCACCATAAGGATTCCTTTGTACCTTTCGAGTTGTGAAAGATATAGATTAAATATATATTTGTATAGAAAGGACAGTAAGTCTTATACAATTATTGTAGCTGTACTATAGTTATACTATATCTACTTCCTTTTAGTGTCTTAGTAAACCTATTTACTAAGAGGATTTCTCAGATAAACAAGTGTTTTAGTGTTTAAATCATCATGATTAAATCCCTAAGAAATTAGGTCTTTAAATAATTATCATATCATTTAAGTGAAATTTCTCATATAAATAATTCCAATATTTCCCCTACAGTTATTATAAAATAACAGAAAATTATATAAATTTTCTATAGACTTAGATATAGAATCATAACGTGTATAATCTCCTTTTGTTTGACATCTGTCACATTAATGACGTATTGAATGACGTATTGATGTATTGAATTGAATTTTGATTATCTATCACAACTGTCAACGTAACAAATACTAGCAAGTTTGTTTATTTGTATTTGTTTAATATAATTAAATATAAAATCATCATATATCAACCGTAATATACAACTAAATTATCAGTGACATAAATAATCATGGTTTACACCAGAAATAATTAATAGTATCCAGTAATGCTGCAGTTTTATATTCATATCAGTAGCCAAGCTTACTCTCAAATTCAAGAACGAACAGAAGATTAGAAGTTTAACATTCTTATTTCAATTGTACTTGCAATAATATATACATACAGTACTAATTATCAAGAATATTCCTCAAATACATGTGTGGTGAAGATTTCCCAATATGCTATCTATTTGATTTCTAACCTCTAATGTAAATTTATTAAAGAAGTGAATAATCAGTGTTAGTGTTTGCTTTATTAATATTTAAAGTAATTGTCCTAACTTGATATTAATAGGATAATATCTCCTTGGATACAGTCCGACATAAACATATAACTCAATAATTAAATTTATAAAATACTAATATTATATTTTACTACTTGTATATCTCCATACTATTCCCATAAAATATTCAAAACATGTATATTAAATATAAATCCAGTAAATATTCACTAATATTAACCCTGTCTGAACTTGTCTAGTCAATATAACATGAACAAACAACACACATACAAACCTTATCGCCAGGACAACTTCCTTTCTAAATATGAGTAAAATACATAGCTTCACAAGTGTCATACAGTATCAATTTTATACTGAATCTCATACCTAGTTAAGAGTAACTATAGTCAGAGAATCTTTTAGTACTTTTATTACCATTAGGAAATAAATCCACACCTATAATATCAGCATAATTAAATATTATTAGTAATCAGTAATACACACAGAATTGTTATTATCAGCTTGCTTACTACAACAAAATCAATATTAAAGTTTATAATAAATCAAGACAAAATATCTATTTAAACAATACAGGCTTGTTTACCATAAACACCCCACAGTCACATGAATTTATCTACTAACACAATAATGTATTAAAAGTATTACATCCACATAAAATCACTTGCAACAGTTAAGCTGTTTCTTTGTACATCTGGTGTAAAACAAATCCCCACATGTAGTCATGGATAATCAAATATAGACTAAGAATCATTAGTCTGGTCGACCGAGTAATGGTATGAAAACACTTCACCATGAAGCAGTAAGTATGAATAGATATTCCAAACCAACACTGTAATAGTGTAATAAATACAACTATTCCATCATCATCATCGTCTCAACCATCACCAACCCACGACTGAACACAGGCAATTTCCACCGACTGACACAAGGAACGGCCCCACAATACACATAAAACAGTCACTCCAAACAATGGAGGTAGCCCACACCGCACTTGCATTCACAGGGTCGCCACTCAACATCCCCTCTCTCTCATCAATGGCCGCTTCCCCAGCAATGAGACCAGACCACAGCCACCTCAGTCTATTTATCCTCAATAAATAAATAATTTATAGTAACTAGATATGAATCTAGTTAGTATTATAATAGTTTAATAGCTGATTTAATAAGTATTTTCCAAAACTGGACAATTAGAACATTGAATCAAATTGATGAAGTTCTATCAAACGACCGTATAATTGGATTTTGTATATGAATAGAATAACGTAAGTACGTAAATTATATTGATGTAAACTTTGTTCAAATGTGATTGCATTTAACGATATACGCATTACCTAAAGGTATATGGACTCGACTAAATACGTATTTTAATAGTTGTTGGGAAAAATATTAAGTATAGACTTTACCTGCGATCACAGTCAAAAATCTAACTACGTAGTAATAAATGGAACAAGCTCACCGGATTCTCCAGTTTTCTATTGATTAATTTCACACACTTAATCGATAGTGATACACTAAGATCTCAAACCCCTTCATCGATCCAGTCCCTCCTAGATCTATATCCCAGTTATTTTTTTATTTTATTGCGCAATCCCTAAAACACGACTCCCGCGCCATTTTCCTTTTTTTTTTTTCTTTTATTGCGCAATTCCTAAAAAGCGACTCCCGCGCGCCCGCCGATCTGCCGGCTCTCCTCTTTTTTTTCTTTTTTTTCTCACCTAGTAACGTCATAGATTATGTCACCGAAGGGTAGATATTTCAATAATCGGATTTAGCCTATTATTCGAACTGAACTTTTCTTTAAATTCAATTTAATTATATGTTAACGTATTTTGGTATTTTCTATTAAATTGATTATCGAATTTATAAAACTTTAAAGGCTCTCATAAACCTTATTAAACTGTGTTATATGCATCCTTTTTACACCTGATGAGAAAAAGGTAAACTATAATTTGGTTAATATAAAATATAATATATTTTTGTTTAATTTATTTTAATTTTCTTGTGACGTCCACTACACTCTGGAAACACATCAAAGGAGTTTCCCTTCTGTGTCAATAATTCATATATGGTAACGTCTTCTCTGTATACTATTGTGAACCTTGACTTTAAAGTTTGTTTATATTAAATAGCTCAGCTTTCGCAGCGGTCACCCATAGGAACCCCTGTTTCTTTTCTATGTACTTATGGTATTAAACCTATTGTACTATAGGCGAACCGTCACAGAGTACAGATCCCTAAAAAGATTCCTGAACACTGGCGTAACGCTTCCTGCATCTGCGATTGCACTGGCTACTTCCCTCTAGCTTTGTATCTCACTTCGTCCATCGTCATGATTTTCATATTAGAGAAACAAAATTTGAGTACAAATTTGAATAAAAATTACTATTTTGTACTTATACTAAAGCAAATCTCGATTTATAACTAGACAATAACATCTGCTCAGTATATAATAACCAGGTAATAATTAGTTTTTATCAAGTCACGTAGGTATCAATTTCTCTATTAATGATTTACTTACAATCAACTTAGCCAACAATAAAATAGGTACGAGGTTAAGCGACCTCATAAAAACGAGCCAAGTAACAAAAAATATGTACTTATTCATCTAATGGCCATGCTAAGTGCTCTATTGATTAGGTGTTTTGTCAGCTGATTGTGGCACGGGCAAATCAAACGACACGCGAACCTTTGTGTATTGTCTTTGGATTATCATCGCGTCAGATCTCTTAGGGAGTAGGCAGAGAGATATAAGTCCAGGTCCTTTAGACAAGTTGCAAGCGAATTCATTGATGAAATCGTCGTTACAAGCGAGTCTATAAGATAGAAGGAGATGGCAACGTCCAATGTCTTATTTCAACTCATGGATTCGCTCGGAATAACCAAAATTTATTAGTAACAACCGCATTACTAACAACTCCTCCCCTCCTTTACCTCTTACCTAGCTACTATTACCCAGTACAGAATACCATATGGCATTAAGCTCGCCACGTCTATAAAGATTTATTGTGCAATAAAGATTAAATAAAAGAATTTTTTTTCACAAATTTTCCATCATAAATAAAAAACTACGCATCATAAAAACAAATAAAAGTCAACTATTCCATTAATAGATTCGTTTACCCTCGTTTGGGTGGGAAACACTGTTTAAGCTACTTCTTGTTTTTATTTACATACATATTTTTCAGTTTTATTCGACTATAAATTAAAACTCGTCCAAACACTTGACTTTTTCTTTGAATAACACATATGCAAATACCTTTTTTAAATTTTTTTTTATACAACTTAGAATGGCAAATAAGCTGACGGCCCACCTAATTGAAAGTAGTAACTGTCGCCTATAGACATGAGCAGCACCATGGACATAACAGGGTATACTATTTCACCCATGATACCCCCCATGCGTTGCCATTCCTGAGGACTCAGGTGTTATTCCTCCGTACCCAGGAAATTCAATTGATTGGGTAGGCATAATAGGGTTAGTTTGGTATGGGTCCCTGGACATAAAGGGATTAAAGGTAATGAAAAGGCCGATGAGTTGGCGAGAAAGGGATCAGAATCAAAAATGGTAGGTCCTGAACTATACGTTGCACTTGCATCAAGTGTTGTTAACTCTGCCCTTGAGGAGTATGTGAGGAAAAAACAGCAGAAGGAATGGAGGACTTTGAAGGGTCTTAGACACTCTAAAAAGTTCTTAAATGACAATGTTGAGGGATGGAATAAACTCATCTACAGCGGTGGCAGACAACAGGCAAGACTCATTATGGGTGCCCTAACTGGACATATGCCAATAAGGCATATACTACATAAGATGGGTCTATCTTCGGACACACTGTGCAGACTGTGCGGGGAGAAATCGGAACCCATGGAACACTTGATGTGCAACTGCGATTCGTTGGCAAGTATGCGTATGAGTCTACTGGGAACGGCTTATCCAGAACCAAAGGACTACAGATATCTTAAACCGCGGGATATCGTTAGGGTAACACATAGGATCTATGAAATGATGGTATAAGGCAGGGGGAAGCACAAAAGATCCGTATGGGTCGACGTGCATCGCCTTAGCTGACACCATATGCGATAAATAAGATAAGATAAGAAATTCAATTGATATTTGAATTCTTCGCACTATTTGTTTTGCAATTTTTTCTTAGCTTTTTTAAATAGGGACAATAAGTATCCCGAAGCTGTGATAGTAATTTAGAAATAATAAATGAACTTCTTGTATAAAAATAATTGGACATATCATCATTATCATATCAGCCTTTAACTGTCCACTGCTGAACATAAGCCTCCCCTTTGGGGGTTTTGTCAGTAATTGCCGCGCTTGGCAAGCGGATTGCCAACCGCAGTCTGACTTTAGAGATGTTTTAATAGGGACGCTGCTGCCCATCCCTCGCCCTTTTTTAGTCGGCTCTTACGACACCCACGGGATAGGAAGGGGTGGCCTATTCTATGCCGGGACTATATGGCCATATACAATTGGACATATACACAATTTAAAAAAAACCCGTACGTTAGATAAGATTATTTTGTGAGAGGGGGGGGGGGGTGTTAAAAATGGCTGATATGTTCTCTTAGTACTCTAATACTCTTACTAAGACTTTGCCCGCTTTGTAAACATCAGATAATTCTGAGGTGGCTGCTGGCCACTCGACCCATACAATCTTGCCCGGCAATATGTAACTGCATACACCGTCTATTTGAATTCTTATAACGTTGACCTTATGCAATACTAACTTTTGCGTTAGTCTCAGTTTTTGGGTAAGCTGCACGCTCTCAGGGTCCGTCCCCTGGAGTTTCCTCCAGCGATGCACGTTCAACGGAGTTTCTAGCGCTTCTTCCAACGCTCTCACCCGCAACCTCTCGCGGCCAAGTTCTCGCTCCAGATTGAATACCTATAAGTAATATGAGTTTATGTATACATATCATCATCTTCCTACCTTTATCCCAATTATTATTTGGGGTCCGCGTAATACGGTTTTATCCATATTACTAAAGGATTTGGCTTATAGTTTTACGACCGGCCACTTGCCTGACGTCAACCCTCTTTGGGAATGATGTATGCACTGTGTATACATATAATCTATTTAAATATTTGGGGGGAAGGTGTTTGTCACTAATAGGGTCTAATAGCCCCATTGCTAGCAATATACCCTCTTAGGTCGACCTCCATGCGGTTCCCCTTGGAAACCAGCATGTTTATTTCTTGTCGAATTCATCATCTTGGGCCAACTGACCTGCACTGATTCTCACCTATCATCTTTTACTGGTGCCTCGTCGGTGTATACTGATAGCGCGGGCGGGGTTACCATTCCATTTTCACCCATTAAAAAAAAATCTATTTAAATAGAAATGAATGAAAATGATGAAGAATAAGTGATTACTACTATAGTATATACTATATACTAGATAATTTGATTCCACTTGTATAATTCGATTATGTTTCTTACTTTTTAAAGGGTGAAAATAAAATGGTTATTAATGTATACTGGTGGGGCACCACTTATGGTTTATATATGTGACGATCAAGTAGTATCCTTGGATAGTGGTAGTTTTTTTTTAATGGATGATAATGGAATAGTAGCACCACCCGCGCTATCGGTATACACCGACGGGGCACCAGTGAAGGATGATAGGTGAGGAAGCAGGTCAGTTAGCTCATCGTGACGAATTTAACAAGAGTTGTTTACGATGGTTTCCAGGTAAAACAACGTGGAGGTCGACCTAATAGGGCATATTGCTAGCAATGGGGCTGTTAAACGCCATTGCTAACAATCCCTTTCCCCCCTTGGATAGTGTTAGTTGGATACAAACTTGAACTTCTCTTCCAGCCTCGCCTAATTAACTGTAATTTATGTTATAGTGACAGAATAACAATGGTTAGGATAATATTACTAATTAAAATTAATTACCCGTGCCAATTGAATATTGTCAAGTATTGCAACAGCAAATTGTGTAGGCAATCTTAGATAAACAATTGCAGTATTTATTAGTTTATCGGGTGTAACTATTTGGTATTAATTGTTGGATATTTCTATTAAAGATTGCTGATGGATGGTGACTGTCTCCTTGGATTATTTTGATTTCCATAGCATACTTTGTAAGATGAACGTACCTAGTTTAAATATGTATAAAAGGAACGCATCTTAATTGACAGATGACATTAGTTGACATGTATGTACTAGGGATTTAGCGGTTGCTTTCCCACCTTTGTTCACTCTCTTAGAAGTTAATAAATATATGTTTGCAATTAAATAAATTTTATTTAAATATAATATACTTAATGTAAAATATCATTCAAAATTACAGTAAATTTTAAATTAATTATATTAATTATAGATAGTAACGTAACAATTTTCGCGTAAAAGAGAAATAGAAAGGTTCTTTTTTTAAAACTTCCTTACACAATTTAAATTTCTAAATATTCGTGCGATTACATGACTATTATAAAACCGTTTGATACAAAAGAATCATTGAAATTAGTTCATTACTGCTAATCCCCCTCTCCCCCCCCCCCCAAACAGTTCGTATTTTAACCTCACGATTTGTTTGTATCACGATATGCTTTTTCATGTTAAATTTGAAGGATTTGAGGTTATAAGATGAAGTGAACACGTCACGGGAAAGGCCATTTCACAATGTTAATTCCACAATACTTTGGATGTTATTTCTCGGAAGGCTTATTTATGACTATGAAGCATCGTCATGGACTATGTATCATCTTTTATCCTACCCTTAAAGTCTAATATCCTGCTCGAAGGACTTTAATGTAGTAACTTAGTAAGTCGTTTCATTAAGGTAGAAGTCGTAAGCCGTAAGAAGTTGTAGAGTTCTGACGGCTTAAAAACCTCGCTGTACACGTATTATAACTGGATTTGCTGTGTATAACCCGCCGATGTAAATGTTGTTATATAAGCCGTTAACTTACCACTGCTGAACATAGCCTCCCCCATAAGAGGGGGGGGGGGGGGTTGGTACCGCTGTTTGGTTTTTGCTAATGTTTGGGACGCTGCTACCCATCTCTCCACCATAAGCTTCCTTAGTCGCCTCTTACGACATCCACGGGAAAGGAAAGGGGCCCCCCTTTACTTATTCTATGCAGGAATCTACACGGCTAATGATGTAAATTTACTAGCTCGGTAATTTTTTTTTAATGGGTGACAATGGTATGGTATCCTCGGCTGCGCTAACGGAATACGCTAGCGGGGCACCAGTGAAGGGTGATAGATGAGAATGAAAACAGGCCAGTTAGCCCATCACGATGTATTCATCAGGAATTAAACATGATAGTTTCCAGGGAGAACCGCGAGGAGGTCGACCTGGTTGGGTATATTGCTAGCGATGGGATTCTCAATCTCCACTACTAACAATCACTTTCCCCCTAGCTCGGTAATATTATGCCCTCAGTGTGAGTGGTCTTGGTCAGTTATACAAAGCAAATCCTGTCATGATTCGTGTAATATTTAAAAAATATTTAGATTGAAAGAAGTACTTACCTCGAGTCGTAAATCAGTCATATTCTCTATCCCTTTGGAGAGCAGATTCTTCTCTTTGCGCAGTCTTATTATCTCAAGTCGTAGTAAACGGATATCTTCTATGCGCTGCTCGTACTGACGCTCTCCTGTAAACCAAATACTTTCACTATTCACTAAATGGGAACGACATTGGATGTAGAATTACTTTCTAATTAATGTATGATATCGAATTTATTGCATCTTTTAGGTAAATATAGGGTGGGTTCTATTACTGAAACTGAACATTTTAACACAACCGTGCATTCAGCAGTTAAGCTAGTATGTTGGACTGGAAATTTCTGTACTTTTTAAATTGCTAAATATTCTTTTTCCCCACTAGGTAGTAACTAGATCTATTGGACCTTTGTCAACGTTTTAATCAATTTGCAGGTTGATCTTTATTTGGATTACAGGATGATCTTTAAGATAGGCTTTGCAGCTATTAAACGATCTATGGCTGCTGTTATTATTTTTTTATAATAGCATAGAATGAGGAATAAGCCGCCAGCCCATCTGATGGAAAGTGGTAATGGTCGCCTACAGACATAAACAGCATCATGAATATCACACAATGCTCTGTAGTGTTTATCGTATATGTTAGTATTCCTGAGGACTCAGGTGCTGCCGTGTAGCTCTGGCATAGAATCCTTTACCGTGAGTATCGTAAAAGACGACTAAGGAAATTTAATACCCGAAGGATTGCAGCGTCCTTCTTAAAACACACATAAAGCCTAACTGCGATTGTCAATCCTGACAAGTGTAGCTACTACTGGTAAAACCCTCTTTTATGAGGGAGGCCTATATTCAGCAGCCGACAGTTAACGTCTGATATGACGATGATAATGGTCTTATAGCTCCTTACCCTAAATAATTTCACTCCATTTATTATCATAGCTACTCTTTTTTACGGCTGAAACACGAGTGGTACAAAATAGAGGTACGCAAGCAAATCATTTACATAAGATCTCTCTCTGGAAAACAATGCTACAACATCACCTCTATGCAGCGTGACCTCCAGTATGCGTATCTTTTCGTATAGGAGCGAGATCTCGTCGTTCCGCCTCACGAGCTGTGCCCCCACCACGTCGCGCTCATTCATCAGGCCTTCTAGCTCTTTCATTAACTTCGCTCGGGCCGTGTCTCCTTCCTGAGGACCAACAATTGTGTAATAGGCCTCCTTGAAAAGAGGATTCGTACATTTTATATTAGATTTTAATGTTTTAATCTTAGAATTATTGTTTCATCAAATAATTTTAAATTCAGAACAGATAGTATAAATGCTCTTTAAGCGACTTCCGAAAGAACGGTTTTTTGATGGGTAAAAATGAAATAGTGATACTGGTATACACTGGCATCCAGTGAGGGATAATAGGTGACCATGAAAGCAGGTCAGTTAGCCCATCATGACGAATTCCATCAGAATAGAATACATTAGATTAAACCTCGATAGTTTCTAGAGGAAACTGCGTGGAGGTCGACCTGATAGGGTATATTGATAGTAATGGGGAAATTAGACCCCATGACTAACAGTCCCTTTTCCCCCGCGGAGGGGATACTGAGAAAGAGTGATAACATTTAGGATGTATATGATTAATAAAACATTTATGTGTTCAGACCTGTACGATCCTGTTCAACCTGGCCTCCTCCTGCCTGAGGGCAGTGATGTCTGCTCTTGCTTCAGATAATTTCACAACACCCGCCTGTACCTCTGCTCTTAGCTGCTCATTCTTCTTGTTACATTTGGCGAGCGTGCCCTCGCACGATTTCAGACCAGTTTCTTTACCGCTGATATCCTCTTTCAGTTGCTCAATCTGATATGCTAACATCTAAAATATATTTTTTATTTTATTTATTTTTATTTTATTATTACATCTGGAATCAACATCTCATATCTAAAATAATTAAAAATATTATATTTACGCCATACATTAGCCAAGTACAGATTCCCAATTTGATAATTTCCAATTTAAAATACTAGACAATATTACGCTTATTTTTGGAGGGTAGGTTAAATTAAAAGATAAAAAAAATATTAAAAAAAAAATTATACCAATACCGTCAGGCATATTACACAGCAGTCTGTCTAGTCTCAAACTAAACATAACTTGTAAAATAGGTACAAGACAATACTGAAATACCTTTTTTTGTGAATACATATTATATATATATATATATATATATATATATATATATATATATATATATATATATATATATATATATAAAAACACTCAGAACAATACAATAGACACACTCATTAATACACATGTAGGTATGTAATATGCGGGCATCAAACCTATGGCCATTGGAATATAAGGTAGCTAGTTAATTTGCCACACCACCAAGATCGTCGTCTTATAGTTCATTTAGTAAAAGTGTGTTTATAGCAGGGGTTCCCAAACTTATTTTGTCTACTGCCCACTTTGAGAATAAATTATTTTTTAGCGCCCCCATTTTTTCACGTACTTAAAAACCAACAACTTCAACTTCAAGATCAACTAATCACCCCCCCAAGCCTTTATACAACGCTTCCATTTTTTTTCTAGATCTCTTACCGCCCCCCTTCAGGCCTGTAGTGCCCACAAGGGGACGTTATCGCCCACTTTGGGAAAGGCTGGTTTATAGAATATCGAAGGAACAAACTTAACTATATCTTTTAAATTGTATTTGGTTGATTGCTAGGAATCTCTTTCAGAGTTAAATCAACTATTGGTTACAATATTTATATTTGCTTTACATTTGTAATTTGCAAGTAAATCAAGTTATATGCTACAGAGATATAAAACCATTAATGCCATAGTCGTCACGAATGGCAACGAACGGTAGTACCATGGACGTCACCGTCTATTTTTGGATGTTAATGGTGCTGGTTTTTATTTTACACCAGGTATAATGTAAGTTTTCTTTCTTTATTCTTTACACAAAAGGCATTAATTATAATTTTTTTCTCAAACATGCTTGGAAATGTGAGCATTATTTTGACAATCTTCTTCGAGATAAATTAAAATTGCCGTACTGGCCAAGATACATGCGGGCAGCGGCCGGTAAAAGTTGTATGAAAATCCATATCTGTCATGTTTTGCGGCCAGATAAATTACTATGTAAATTCCTATCTGTCCTGTAATTTAAAAATGGAATGACCTTTTACTTCGAAACATGGCTACCAAGGAGGTAACTAATAAAAGGTTTTATTTAAATTTCGAACTGGCTTGCAAATAGAAAGCTGTTTATTGAAAAAAAAAAAAAAACAAGGGAACATTATGGCGCGTGAAAAATTATTATTGTTCGTTATTCGTCATTGAATTTAAAAAGTAAAATTGTGTTTTTGATTTCCGCGCATTGTTTGAGGAAAGTACTATACAAGCTTTGGCCACAACTAGGCATTGATGGACTCACGTATGTGTGCTTCGGTTACACCTCGGCCCACATTTGTACGTTCGTCCATCAATGCCTCAGTTGCTGGCCGTTGCAATAATGTACTATTACAACTACTTAATAACTAACTAAATAATAATTACATTATAATGCACAAGCTATATAATAATAATAATAATAAGGGAAAGATGCAGAAAGCAGTGCTCTTAGATACTGCCCGCATTGTACGCCGGTTTCTCTCCCTGAGGCCCTGAACCCCGGCCGACTGTGCTTTTGCCGGGGGTTAGTTGCCATCTCCTTTCCTTAAGAGGGGAGATGTGAATATTTGTAAAATTTAAAAAATAATAATAATAACAACAGTATAATACGAGTAAATACATAATAGTGCACAAGCTTATTCGCTATTCTAAATCGCATATATTTTACTAATCTATATCCGTTTCCAAAAGTCGTGTCAAGAATATTAACACATATTGCGCCATATTATTATCGGGTTACTAGATATAATACGAGTTTACTTACCTTTAGTTTTTGTTTAAGATCCTGTATCTCGTCCAGCGCCTCTGTGTAGTTTTTATGCAGCATATTCCTTTCCGCTCGCGTGGCGTCCAGCGCCACCGACAGTTTCCTAGTCTTGACCGTCTCCTCGCGTATTGCTTTCTTCAAATCCAAGATGTCGGCGGTGCGCAGGCGCACTTCCTCTGTCGATTTATAATTTAACTAATTTTTACCAGCGACATCGTCCGGGCGAAGGATTTGTTGATTGACCGCAATAGTCCTTTAGTACTCGTATACATATAATACCAAATTACATGATGATAATGTGAGCCATTAAGGCATCAAGAGGTAAAAGTAAAAAAAACAAAACAAAAAGCCTCACTTTCACATTTATAAACTAGTAATTATTGTTAACTGACTTCAATGAAAGTGATCTTTATTATTTCAACTTTTTTTTTGGGACTTTTTTGTGCACATATATTACGAAATATGTTAGTACTACGGTTAGTAGTTTTGGAACCAACGTATTTTTCAATGGTTCTTTTTGTAATCGAAAGGGTTTACTCAAATTTTTACTAAATTCGATTTTATTTCTAGATGTTACCCAATAGGTATTGTATTGTATTGTAAAATCTTTATTGTACATAATTCAAATTAAGCACTGATAAATTATTTAATATACAATGGCAGACTTATCCCATAAAGGGATCTCTTACAGTCAACCTTTGAGAAGCTGAAAGAAAACTGTAGAATGTATAAGGGTAATAACCGTACAATTAAAAATAAACTAAATAATACCCACTAAAAATTGAATATATAATACATACAATAAAAATAGCTGTATATACCTACATATGTAAATAATAAAAGTACATGAATAAGAATATAACATTAATATATAAATAAATAAAAACTTACATTGTTTCTTGCTGAACCTGAATCAATTAAAATTTTTTACTGTAGTTTTACATTATTTATTAAGGTGACAATACCATAAATAAAACAATTCACTTCGACAGTACTCACCAGATATTTCATCGACTTTTTCGTTTAGTGCAATCGTTTCTTCGAGCATTCTGTTAAATAACAAAAAAGGTATTTATTACTAAATTGGATCAATTTGCGAATAGTTTCTCTTATTGATCAATTAATTTATTGTTCGTTATCATCATAATCATATCAATCGTTAACTGTCCACTGCTGAACATAAGTTTCCACTTTAGTGGGTTTTGCCAGTAGTTGCCACGTTTGACAGGCGGGTTGGCGACCACAGTTAGGCTTTAGTGACGTTTTAAGAGGAACGCTGCTGTCCATCCTTCGATCATTAAATTCCCTTACTACGCTTACGGAAAAGAAAGGACTGGCCCATTTTATACCACGACCACATGGTTAAATATTGTTCATAATTGCTTTAAATTAATCAATCACACAGCTGAAATTTATAATGTAACTTTTGTTTTTCTTTTTGTCTTGAATAAAGTTTAGGATTTTTTTTTTTAATAATAATAATAAAGATTTATTGCACATAAAAATATACAGTCAGCTCAGCTTACAGAAATTTCAAAGTGAATTATATGTGTATAAAATGTAGCATTATGCCCAGCACATTATTATATAGGTATTAAAAAAGAAACTTGCGAAAATTTTTAATATAATAAGTCCATGAGCGATTCACCCATAATAATATGGGTATATTAAAACAAATACAAGAGAATTGTTTCCCAATCGGGTAATAAGCTCACCTGTCCTTGTCCTTCTCGAGCTGCCGTATGAGCAACCTCTGTTTGTTGATCTGCGCAGCGTTCATTTCGAGCTCGTGCTCCAACTGTTTCCGACGCTGCTCCTGCAGGTGAAGCATTTGAAGGTTTTCCAACGCCTCGTCTGTTAATAAAGTTATAATCAAAATGTGCTTGTAAATACTAATTAATCCGCCAAACATTGTTTTGACCCCTGCCGGGTCCATATTTTCTTACTGGGATACATAATATTATGGTTTTCAAATTGGAATAATTCTCTTTTCTTTTTCTTATAATGTCTTAGAATTGCAAACAAGCTGACGGCCCACTTGATGGAAAATAGTAACGGTCGCTTTTAGACATGAACAGTACTATGGACATAACAGAGTTACTGTGTCGTCCATGATACCCCTCATGCGTTAAAATTTCTAAGGATTAAGCCTCTGTATCCTGTAATTTCACTGCCATATCCCACCCTTCAAACGGAAACACAGCCATGCAAACACAACTGCTTAACGTAGAAACACGAATAAGACAGAGGTACTTAAACAAACGACCTTTGTACAAAGTCTCCTTCTGGTTTACTCAGGTCCCATAAACAGTACACGTTTATAAAGAAATTGTTAAAATCGTTTGAGCGGTTTCGGAGTTTAGCATAGTGACATAGACACACAGATCGTGATACAGGCTTTTTATATTATATAATTTTTTAAGCGTAAAATTTCGTAAAAGATCGGGATAAAAAGTAACCTTTGTCCTTTTCCATGACTATTAATTGAGCCGTAAATGCGTCAAGTGTTAGAGAAACAAACAAGCTCACATTCACAAAATAAATATTTACTTAAACGGAGTATGAATGAATACATTTATTATACAATATATGGAATAAACAAGACAATTAATAAACGTAACGATGCAGCTGTATAAGCACTGTAGCCATATATACAACTTACTTTGTATCTTTTGCATATTCTTGTTTAAAATATCTTTTTCTCTATTAAGGTTCTCTATATCTCTCTTGTCCGACTCCGCTTGTTTCTTGCCGAGCATTATCTCCCGTTCCATAACGCTGACTTGCTGACGTAATCGTTCCCTGTATGAGCAAATTGATTCGAAATTATATGATTATTGCAGAAAAATATACATATCGTTTTGCCGTGTGGCCCGGCATAGAAAAGGCCATCCTTTCCTTTCCCGTGGGCGTCGTAAGAGGTGACTAAGGGAGGCCGAGGGATGGGCAGCAGCGTCTTTTTTTAAAATATCATCAAAGCTTAACTGTGGTTGTCGACCCGCCTGCCAAATGTAGCAACTAGTGAAAAAACCTTCCTTATGGAAGAGGCCTAAGTTCAGCAGTTCAAATTCAAATTCAAAATATCTTTATTCATGTAGGTCTATTCCAGACTCTTATGATATGTCAAATCTACTGTCAGTTCGGAATGATTTCGAGATGAGAAGAACTGACAAGAAACTCGGCTCGTATTCTCAGTATCAGTGTACAATTAACGGCTGATGTAGTATGGTAGGGTTTCATTGAAACAAAACATACCTCTCCGACTCGACATTTGCTTTATTTCCTTCCAAAAGTTGATATTTCTTCGTCTGCTGCGTTGCTTGTTTGGTCAGCTTGGACACCTCGTTCCGAAGTCTGTTCCCATCGTCGATCATATTCTAAAAATACTAATTGTACTTTACACTTTATTAGTACTACTTAAGGTTCAAATTAGCTAGATTTGGGAAATTCAAAAGAAATCAGCAATCATACTATTGAGTACAGAGCGCCTTATAGAGAGAATAAATATTAACAAGATACGAATATGTATGTTTATGTTTACTGGATACATTTGTATTGAACTCTTAACTACGTCTCTTCCTCATAGTTTTTTTATACTATCATGGTGGCCAACATATATGCCCGTCTGATGGTAAACGAAGTTACCGTAGCCTACGGACGCCTGTAACACCAGGGATATAACGCGCGCGTTGCCGACCCTTAAAAAATTTTAATACGCCCTTTTTGAAGAACTCCATGCTGTAGTCTCTAGAGAAAGTATTTGAAACTTAGATTTCCATCAAAGTATCTTTTATACCTATCAGAGTCATTACTCATTTATTCAAAGAAGATTGTACATTACGTTTAAAATAGTGTATTATTTTACAAAAAAGTATTAAATTGTATATTCGAAGTAGATTTTTATAAACAAGAGGAAGACTTTGTACAAAAGCGTTATGTATCTTTATATACAACTATTACCGCTTTTTATTAGGCGAGTCATTAGCTTGGTTACCATTCCCAGTTGCATACAAAAACTTATGAATTTTATTCTTCGTCAACGCATGTTTCAATATAAATAATATACCCTTCTAACTCACACACTTTTTTTTTTTATTTTAAGGGTTTTCACCTTTTTTAGGGTTTTTTTTTTTTTTTATACCACTGAGGTGGCAAACAAGCATACGGCCCACCTGATGGTAAGCGGTTACCGTAGCCTATGAACGCCTGCAATACCAGAGGTATTACGCGCGCGTTGCCGACCCTGAAGAAACCTCTTTACCCCCCTTTTGAAGAACCCCATGCTGTAGTCTCTCGGTTTTTGATGGGTGAAAATGGTATGGTAACCCTGCCTGCGCTAACGAGATACGCTGGCGGAGCACCAGTGAAGGCTGATCGATGAGAATGAAAACAGGCCAGTTAGCCCATCATCAGGAATTAACCATGATAGTTTCCAGGGAGAACCACGAGGAGGTCGATCTGGTTGGGTATATTGGTAGCAATGGGATTCTCAGTCTCCATTACTAACAATCCCTTTCCCCCACCTTTTTCAGGATTATCAGCCCTATCGTACTCTGAACTGGTTTTATTTCTCAGTTAGTGTTTAATTTATTATTTGGGTTTAGCTATGACGGGGAAAGGGATTGTTAGTAATGGGTTTTGTTAATTAATTATTGCTAGCAGTTAGGTACTCTATTAGGTTGACCTCCACGTGGTTACCCCTGGAAACCATCACGGTTTATTCTCGGTGGATTCGTCACGATGGATCAACTGACCTGTTTTCATCCTCATCTATTATTTCGCATTGGTGCTCTGCCAACGAACACCGATAGCACAAGCGGGACTACAATCCCATTTTCATCGATTAAAAAAGAAACAACAAAAATGCTATTACCTTTAACTCCTTAGCGGTGTTATGAAGGTTTTGTTTGGTCTTGTCAAACTCGATATTGGTCGTCTCCAGTTGTTCTTTGTATTGGGCTGCTTTTGCCGAGGCGGTCTCTTGCTCCTGCTGTGCTGTTTCCAACTTCTGTCCTATGTCTCGAAGCTGCTTATCGCGACGTTCAATTGTCTTTTCTGCTTTTGTTAGCTGAACACAATTGACATTTATATGCATCTAAGTAACTTTTTATTTCAAAATCTAAATGAAATTACGATTGTATATTTATGACGGGGCTATAATATGTGTTGTATGATAAATTTTGCGTTATAAGTTCAACTGATATCTTTTCCCCCTTTTTTATCTTACACATATAGCCTACTCACACATATTTATATCTACATAATTATTATATAAACATTATAAACACAAACACACATACATACATAATTTATATTTTATTATATATTTATTCTATAACTGACAAAAATGTCGTATCGGACGACACACCGCGTTGTGCATTGGAGATGTGCACAAAACCGGTTTTTAGCCGCCATGACAGGGCAACTGCGTGAGCGCTTCCCCTCTCACCGCGAGAGTCGAAATTCTACCGCCTTGTTTATAACTTGTGTCGCTCGATATCTCACTGCTTTCTAAATGTTAACATCGTGCTTATTAACTTTCATCTTTGTCTATCACTGTATCATCCTTCTTTCACTCCTTCTATCTATTGTGTTGTTGACTGTATTGTGTGTAATCTTCCTGTGCATTAAACCACTGTGCTAGCTACTTGTACTGCTTATTTTCATCGCTTGATAAACATCATCGTTACGCGGCTTATCAACGCAGCCATACTATAAACACGCATCCTTCACATCAACATCCATACTGGTGACCCTCCAAGGACACGAAATTCATCATGAGTGATAGCAGTGATTCAAATAAAACGTCGCAATTTCAAGATGGACATAGCGAAAAGGTGACCTTTCGTCGAACGCCCAAAGTGCGCGTTTCCACTGCACGACAAATGACGTCCGACATTTCAACGATAAATTTGAAAGTTCCCGTTTTTGCACCAGACGACCCGGAAATATGGTTTGCTCTTCTAGAAGGTCAGTTTAACTTGCATAATATCACAGATGACTCAGATAAATTTACATACGTAACTTCCAGTCTTGACGTACAGCATGCAAAAGCCGTGAAGGACATAATTTTAAATCCTCCGGCCAGTAAACGCTACGATAAAATTAAAACCGAGCTGATCAAACGTTTATCTGCCTCGCATGAGAGAAAAGTCAAGCAACTTTTGACACACGAGGAACTTGGGGATAGAAAACCGTCCCAATTTCTGAGGCATCTTCAAGATCTTGCTGGATCATCAGTTCCTGAGGATTTATTAAGGACTATTTGGAGCAACCGACTACCACAAAGTATCCAGACCGTGTTGGCATCGCAAACTACCCATTCATTGGAACAACTCTCGGACCTGGCTGACCGAATTCAGGAAATTACCACACCTTGTCACGTTGCAGCCACTTCATCAAGTATGTCATCCTCTAATAGTTCATCCCGGGAGATCGCAGAGCTGAAGAAGATGGTTGAGCACCTGGCATTAAAGCTCGAAGAACATACCAAGGCATCACATCGACCCAGCCATCGTTCTCGAACGCCACGACGTCGTCATTCTTCACGACAACGATCGAGATCGAACTCCAGCTACCGCAAGTTCCCTATTTGTTGGTACCACTCAATGCATGGAGCCGACGCACGTAAATGTTTGAAGCCGTGCGACTACAAGGCGGGAAACTCCATGGGCAGTCGGTAATGGCGACTGACGATTGCTCCTCCCCCCTTGGTCGCCTCTTCGTCACCGACCGCAGTTCGAAGATCCAGTTTCTGGTGGATACCGGTAGCGACCTTTGCGTCTACCCTCGATCTGCGCTGCGTGAACGACGAGTCAAGACGGACTTTCAATTGTGCGCAGCTAATGGAACAAACATCGAGACATATGGTTACGTAGAACTTAATTTAAATCTAGGCTTAAGGCGTAATTTTACATGGCGCTTCATTGTTGCAAATGTAACCAAAGCTATTATCGGTGTAGATTTTTTATGTCACTATAATTTAATAGTAGATTGTCGTAAGCATCGCCTTATTGATAACATTACCAATTTACATACTAGTGCATGTTCTGCTAATAATGATACATTTTCTGTAAAACTTGTCACGGGCAACACAAGATTTCATCAAATTTTAAACAAATTTCCCGAAATTACTCGCCCTTCAGGCACACCGTTGACTCCAAAGCACAACACCGTCCACTACATTAAGACAACAACAGGCCCACCTATATCTTGCACTCCTCGAAGACTGGCTCCCGACAAATTAAAAATAGCTAGGCAGGAATTCGAACTTATGCTCAATAATGGTACAGCACGTCCTTCCAAAAGTCCCTGGGCTTCGCCGCTACACCTTGCTCCTAAAAAGGATAACGGCTGGCGACCCTGTGGTGACTATAGGTTACTCAACGCAAGGACGATACCAGACCGTTATCCTATTAGGCACATACACGATTTCGCCCATAGCATCTCTGGTTGTAAGATCTTTTCCACAATAGATTTAGTTAAAGCTTATAACCAGATCCCGGTTTTTGAGGAAGATATACCGAAAACTGCAATTGCCACACCTTTCGGACTATATGAGTTCCCGTTTATGACGTTTGGTCTACGTAATGCTGGCCAAACGTTTCAAAGATTTGTCGACGAAATGACTAGAGGGCTTGATTTTTGTTATTGTTATCTTGACGATTTTCTAGTGTACTCCAGAGATGAAGCCGAGCACGAATCCCACCTTCAGCAGCTCTTCACCCGCATGAAGGAATACGGTATCCTCATCAATACATCAAAGTGCGTATTCGGTGTAAGTGAAGTCACATTTTTAGGTTACCATATCTCTGCGTCAGGAACTAAACCTCTAGATTCCAAGGTTCAGGCCATCAAGGAATTCCCTGCACCAATAAACGTCAAGCAACTAAGGCGCTTTTTGGGGATGATGAACTTTTATAGGCGATTTATACCGCAAGCCGCTCAAATTCAAGCTCCCTTAAACGCCTTACTCGCTGGTTCAGTGAAAGGATCCCATCCAGTCAATTTACGCGACGACACTCTTCTTGCTTTCGAACAATGCAAAGAAAGCCTTTCTAATGCTGCATTACTCGCACACCCAGACTGTCAGGCTAATCTTGCTCTGGTAACAGACGCATCTGATTTAGCTATGGGTGCAGTTTTGCAGCAATTCAAGAACAATCAATGGCAACCCCTTGCTTTCTTTTCGCGGAAATTGAGTCCCTCTCAACAAAAATACTCGCCCTATGACCGCGAACTTTTAGCCATCTACGAAAGCATTAAATACTTTCGCCATATGCTGGAAGCTCGACATTTCGTGGTGTACACTGACCACAAGCCGCTCAGTTTCGCTTTCCGTGAACGAAAAGCCAACTGTTCGCCCCGTCAGTTCCGTCATCTCGATTACATCTCGCAGTTCACAACTGACATACGACACATCTCAGGCAAGGACAATGTCGTAGCCGATACACTGTCCCGTATCGATGAACTGCAGATGCCAATCGACTTAAGTTTATTGGCAAAGTCACAAGCTTCCGATAATGAGCTAACTGAAATATTAGGTGGTGATTTATCACTCCGCCTAAAGAAGTTAAAAATGCTTAACAGTAACATTGAACTGTTTTGTGACGTGAGCACTCCATCACCAAGACCTTTTGTGACGAAGCAATTTCGTAAACAACTTTTCGATAGTCTACATAGTCTTAGCCACCCAGGCGCTAACGCGAGCGCTCAACTTGTCGCTGAGCGATTCGTCTGGCCAGGAGTGCGTAAAGACTGTCGAGAATGGTCACGAAATTGCCTAGCCTGTCAACGTGCAAAGGTAAATCGTCACGTGTCAACTCCCTTAGGCACGTTCAATCTACCTCGCGCACGATTCGCTTTTATCCATACGGACATCATAGGCCCATTACCACCATCACAAGGCTATCGCTACTGCCTTACAGTAGTAGATCGTTTCACACGCTGGCCCGAAGTCATTCCGATGACAGATATGACAGCTGAAACCGTTGGGAAGGCATTATTATCGTGGATATCCAGATTTGGATGTCCAACTGATATTGTCACTGATCGCGGTAGACAGTTTGAATCCGCACTTTTCCAATATCTTGGAAAAATGATTGGATTCAAACATCGTAGAACAACCGCGTATCACCCAGCATGTAACGGCTTGGTGGAACGTTTTCACCGGCAATTAAAAGCTGCCATTATGTGCCACGCTGATGTGAATTGGGTAGACACCTTACCGTTAGTGCTCTTAGGTGTTAGGTCGGCTTATAAAGAGGACTTACATGCATCATCAGCCGAATTAGTGTATGGCGAACCATTACGTCTCCCAGGAGAATTTTTCCAGGCGACAGTACCTGAGTCCACCGACATTTCAGACTTCACTACCCGTTTACGTCAATTCGCGGTGAAATTGCAACCATCTCCCGCGTCGCGTCACAATAAAGATAAAATCTTCATTTACAAAGATCTGCAGTCATCTAGTCACGTCTTCTTACGAGACGATTCAGTTCGAGGTGCTTTACAACCCCCCTATACCGGTCCATACGAAGTGGTCGAACGTAACAATAAAACATTTAGGATATTGGTTAAGGGTAAAGCAGTCACGGTATCTATAGACCGCCTCAAACCGGCCTACATACTGACAGAGCCATCCCCTTCGCCTCAATCCGTACCTATTCCTACTCCCATTCCCCCACCTAACCCAGATCCTGTTCAGCAGGATAAACTTGCTCAGGGTACCATTAAAAAGACCCGTTCGGGACGCGTAGTTCGATTTCCTGACTACTATTGCCCATAATTCCTCTGACTACCCCATCATGAAATGTGGTCGTGAGCATATTTTTTCATCGCCCGTAGTTACGGTCTTTGGAGGGGAGTGATATAGCCTACTCACACATATTTATATCTACATAATTATTATATAAACATTATAAACACAAACACACATACATACATAATTTATATTTTATTATATATTTATTCTATAACTGACAAAAATGTCGTATCGGACGACACACCGCGTTGTGCATTGGAGATGTGCACAAAACCGGTTTTTAGCCGCCATGACAGGGCAACTGCGTGAGCGCTTCCCCTCTCACCGCGAGAGTCGAAATTCTACCGCCTTGTTTATAACTTGTGTCGCTCGATATCTCACTGCTTTCTAAATGTTAACATCGTGCTTATTAACTTTCATCTTTGTCTATCACTGTATCATCCTTCTTTCACTCCTTCTATCTATTGTGTTGTTGACTGTATTGTGTGTAATCTTCCTGTGCATTAAACCACTGTGCTAGCTACTTGTACTGCTTATTTTCATCGCTTGATAAACATCATCGTTACGCGGCTTATCAACGCAGCCATACTATAAACACGCATCCTTCACATCAACATCCATACACATATCTAAGAAATAAATTTGTTGACATGCTAGATCTCTTCAAAATACATATTTACTTTGGAGAAATTTTGCATGGCAAGATTTGCTTTTGATATATTATCACATTCTAGTTGTATGGAGTTAAATATTGTATTGACGTAAAGATCACATTCTTGTAATATGAAATTGCAGTAATACCGTTTGTATTTTGTTAACAGAGAGACTGGCTGAAAACCAGCGCTGTTCAGCTGTATACATTTCACTGGGACACTTACAGCATCAGTTTTTTTTATGGGTGATAATGGTATGGTAATCCCACCCGCGCTATCGGTGTACACCGGCGGGACACCAGTGAAAGATGATAGATGAGGATGAAGCAGGCCAGTTAGCCCATCGTGACGAATTCAACAAGAATTGTTCACGATGGTTTCCAGGAGGAATCACGTGGAGGTCGACCTGATATATTGCAAGCAATGGGGCTTTCAAACTCCATTGTTAACAATCCCTTTCCCCCCTACAGCATCAGCTGAGCCAGTTCCTTTTGCCTAATATGAAACACCTCTTATATATTATTGTATTCTCGTTATAAATATGTGTTTTTCTGGCAATAAATATTTTCTATTCTATTAAATTTTATTTAATCATCTAATGGGGAGACCTATGTTTAACAGTGGACAGTGAACGATGATTTCACATACCTTGTCTGTGAGATTGGCAATAGTAGTTCCTCTATTCTCGACTTCATTTTTAAGAGTAGCACTTTCACCTTTCAGATGATCAACAAGCCGATTTTGACGTACCGTATTGTTGTCTGCTTCCTGTATTAAATAAAATTTTTGTTTTCATAAAAGAAGAAAACCTTCGTTAATAAACAAATAAAATTATAAAATTGTCGATGTAGCCATATTTAGTTTTTAAAATACGCCTATAGCTTATTTAGAAAGACGCATATAGTAAAGAAAAACATTTTTCCTAAAGAAAACAACATTTTTGAGTCTTCTATACTGACTCGACTGCTGTTGGTGGTCATGTCGTGTTACTTTTAATGCATCAAAATGTTTTGTTGCTTTTCGACCTACTATTAATTTGTTTGTAACACTTTATTTAACAGTAAAGTCTTAAATTATTGGACATAGAGTTCTTAAGAAAAGAATGAGTACAATGGTGGACTTCACTACATAGTATAAAATAAAGTCGCTGTCGCTGTCTGTCCGTCCCTATGTATATTTAAATCTTTAAAACTACGCAACGGATTTAGAAACGGTTTTTTTTAATAAATAGAGTGATTCAAGAGGAAGGTTTATATGTATAACATAGTAGAGAAACACTGATAATTTTAGAGGTTTCTAATGTGATGAGATGTAGTGTGCACCCGTGCGAAGCCGGAGCGGGTCGCTAGTATCCCATAAAAGGGATCTCTTCCAGTCAATTTTCGAATGTCTGATAGAAATTGTGAATTGCTAAAATATGTTTCTCTGAACAAAAGATTTTGATGGTAGTAGTAAAATATTTTTTTCAACCGATTTTAAAAAGAAGGAGGTTTCTGATTTTTTTTACGTTTGTTAATTCATAACTCTGTAAACCGATTTGAAAAATTCTTTTCTTACATGAAAAGATATACTTACAAACTTAGTAGAATTTTATCAGAATCAGTTCTTTTTTTTATACAACTTAGAATGGCAAACAAGCTAACGGCTCACCTGATGGAAAGTGGTAACCGTCGCCTACAGACATGAGCAGTACCATGGACATAACAGAGTATACTGTTTCGCCCATGATACCCCCCACGCGTTGCAATTCCTGAGGACTCAGGTGTTATTTCTTTGTACCCAGTAAATTCACGCCGTATCCCACCCTTTAAACTGAAACACAGCCATGCAAACACAACTGCTTCACGGTTGAAACACGAATGGGATAGAGGTACCCAAGCAAACGACTTTTGTTCACAGTCTCCCTCTGGAAGACTTTGTACAAACCTCCCATTCCCTCCAAACATTCGATATGGAGGAGGATTAAAATAGCATCCGTTTTCGCCATCATTATGTTCTACTTATTATGAAGAATTGTTGCTCGCTAAAGAAAATAGACATTCCGTGATCTTAGCTTCAGACAATTTAAATAATTAGTCGTTTGACGTGCGCCGACCGCAATTAGTTTACAATAGCAATGAAGAAATAAATTTACATAAAATATTAATTGGACAATGAATATTTATTAAATTATCCTATTCCATTGGTTTTCAATTTTAATAATTGTTGGGGAGTATGATAGACTTTCCCTGTTTTATGGTGAATAATCTGCCTATACTTATAATAAATCTGTAGAGAGGTCAATTCTGTACATGAAATATATTTCCAAAATAACTATCGGGGGGTGATTAGCGATCGATACTGATGGCAAAAATGCAATCAGTAAAATTTTTGTCTGTCTGTCTGTCTGAATGTTCGTTATAGAAACAAAAACTACTCGACGGATTTTAACGAAACTTGGTACAATTATTCTTCATACTCCTGGGCAGGTTACAGTATACTTTTTATCACGCTACGATCAATAGGAGAAGAGCAGTGAGGAGAAATCTTGGGAAAACGGGAGAAGTTACTCCATTTTTAAGTTTCCGTCGCGTGTGTAGCCTTAATGGCCACTTTTTAAAATGTAAAAATGTCCACCCGTGCGACGCCGGGACGGGCCGCTAGTTAATGAATAATTGTCTTTTAATTATAAATTGCTTCCGTATATTTGATAGAAAATTATGCAATGAATTTACCAAATTTACCAATTTACCAGAGGGAGACTGTACAAAAGTCGATTGCTGGGGTACCTCTGTCCCATTCGTGTTTCTACCGTGAAGCAGTTGTGTTTGCATGGCTGTGTTTCGGTTTGAAGGGTGGGATATGGCATGAATTTACTGGGTACAGAGGAATAACACCTGAGTCCTCAGGAATGGCAATGGATGGGTGGTATCATGGGCGAAGCAGTATACTCTGTTATGTCCATGGTACTGCTCATGTCTATAGGCGACGGTTACCACTTTCCATCAGGTGGGCCGTCAGCTTGTTTGCTATTCTAAGTTGTATAAAAAAAAAATTAAAAAAGGAACAAAAGAACAGTGAGTCATAAAATAAAAAGAATATACGGCTATTAAAATAAACCAAAAAGATTGCAATTTTCGACGATAATTTTTTAGAGGTTAATAGAAATATAACCTAAAATTTTCCTTCTTTATTTTGACAACAAGTACACGTACTTGCATGAAAGGAGAAAATGGTTACTTCTTTTATGTATTTTGCTTTGTTTTGTATATGTATTCGTTTATCACTTTTTACTGTGTATGTCTATCAATGTCTGTTGTTATTTTTGTGCTGTAAGTAATGCAAATAAATAATATGTATAGTAACCAGAGTCGCGGGTTGTGAATTGAAAGACCCCGATTGTCAAGACAAGTTTAATACGAGCATCAAGTAATACATAGATGTTAACAATGGCGGGAGCGCGTTCTAAGTGTAAGTACATATGAGAACGTATTGGCGGTCGGCGTAAGACTACTGTAGAGGGCGCCAGTGCCTATTACTTATAACGAGCGGGTGGGTGCCCGCGAGTGGCCCGGATTGGTCGTTCTATTATGTTGGTAGTAGTGACGGTGCGTTGTACCATATATGTCTATTTACTTTGTACAACATAAATATCAATTAATAATAATTAATTAAAACACGAAAATAAATTTTATTGGTTTAAAAAAATATATATATCAAAATCGGTACAGAATTAGCGAATATATCGCGAAACAAACATATAAAAATACATACAATGAATTCGTAACTCACGAAAAGTGAAAACTTATTATAATATATAATAATAACTTTACATAAATGACTGTTATTAAACACCTAAATATTTTTAAATTTTAAATATAAATAAGGTTGAAATTGAAGTAAAATTTGTTATGACAAAAACTTTAATTTTAGAGCAGCGGACAAATTTCTGGTTCAACAAAGTTATTATTATTTTTAAATGCTTAAAAAAAATAGATGTCATTTACTTTTTTTTTTAATATTCAGTTTATTTATTTCGTATATTTAGATATTAAAGACATTTTATAATGACCTTTATTTTATTTATTAAGATGAACATAGTCTATTCTTTATGTTCAAGCTCTTTTTAAATCCGCTGGCGACTTTAACTGCATTATCGTCTTCTATTAAAATCTTAAACGTTAGTCTTACTTCAAGTTGTTCCTCTAGTTTGACAATATTTTCATCAGCGGCAGTGTTTCTGTTCTCCAACTCTTCGACATAGTTCAGAGCGTTTGACAGCCGCTGCTTCACGCCGTCCAGTTCGCCTTGGAGGCGAGCTTTTTCCTTTTCAAACTTCTCTTTTTCTTTTACAGCTGACGTGGCGCCACTTAAAATTAATTTAATAAAGAACTAAGATGGTGAACTATTGATATTAAATTTACAAATTTATTTAATTTTACCCAACATTTTTTTTATACAACTTAGAATGTCAAACAAGCTGACGTCCCACCTGATGGAAAGTGGTAACCGTCGCCTATAGACATGAGCAGTACCATGGACATAACAGAGTATACTGTTTCGCCCATGATACCCTCCATGCGTTGCCAATCCTGAGGACTCAGGTGTTATTCCTCCGTACCCAGTAAATTCACGCCATATCCCACCCTTCAAACCGAAACACAGCCATGCAAACACAACTGCTTTACGGTTGAAACACGAATGAGACAGAGGTACCCAAGCAATCGACTTTTGTACAAAGTCTCCTTCTGGTCTTTTACCCAACATTATTACAGACATTAAAAATAAAACTGTGACAGTTTCTAAATTTTTACAGGTTTTTTAATGTGATATCACCTTAAACTTATTTTTTCAAGGGTGTGAAAGTAAAAGATTATAACATAAAATTAAATCTTTTTGAAAATATTATGTAATGAATATCATACAAAGATCTTCATGCTACAAACGTCTGCATCACTGTGAAGTCTCAGAATTACAAGTTTCCATTGGTTCCAGAGTTCCTTTACAATAACGGTAATCATATATGCTTTAATACCACATTTTTTATACAAAACTATGTTTCTTAAATAATTCGCTATATACAAGAAATAAACAAGAAGCACTCACGCGTCCTCATCACCAGCGCGTTTTCTTGCATCCAACTCCTTTTCGAGCCTGCTGACGGTTCTTTTCATGGTCTCCAAGCTCTCGACGCTGATCAGCTCTCTTGCATGCATCGCGTCAGCTAAGGCTCTTGCTTCGTCTGTGTTACAATCAAACATTTTTTTTTATACAACTTAGAATGGCAAACAAGCTGACGGCCCACCTGATGGAAAGTGGTAACCATCGCCTATAGACATGAGCAGTACCATGGACATAACAGAATATACTGTTTCGCCCATGATATCCCCCATGCCTTGCCATTCCTGAAGACTCAGATGTTATTCCTCTGTACCCAGTAAATTCACGCCATATTTCGCGCCACCCTTCAAACCGAAACACAGCCATGCAAACACAACTGCTTCACGGTTGAAACACGAATAGCACAGATGCGGATGTTCTTTATAATAATTTGGTGTGGCTTGGCGACGGTTATCTGTAGATAGTTTTATTCAATGAGTATAAGAGACACAAACTGCAATACTGGAAAATCAATTTGTGATTGTAGCTTAATTTTAATTTATTAATGTACTGTAATTTTGTAAAGTAACTATATTATGAGAATACACAAGTGATTCAAGAGATTTTCGGTTGTTAGTAATGTCTAATCGAAATTATTTATTTATTAGAAACCAACGGCGTTACAGTTAAGATTTACGTACTAGTATTTAAAATGTTAAGGCTAATAACAGGTTTCTGGGGGGAAAGGGATTGTTAGTAATGGAGACTAAAAATCCCGTTGCTAGCAATATATCCAACCAGGTCGACCTCCTCGTGGTTCCCCCTGGAAACTATCATGGTTAATTCCCGATGAATTCATCATGATGGGCTAACTGGCCTGGTTTTCATTCTCATCGATCACCCTTTACTGGTGCTCCGCCAGTGTATCCCGTTAGCGCAGGCGGGGTTGCCATACCATTTTCATCTATCAAAAAAATAACAGGTTTCTTATTATTATAAAAGTACAAAATTGGTTTGCGCAAAGGAAAAGTAGTAAGAAAAGTATGAAGACATGCAGACATGCAAACAAATACAAAGTTATATTCGACAGGCTAATTTCAACTATAGACTGTAACTTTTGTAAATGGAATAAATCTTATTCTTTACCAATATCGGCTCTAAGTTTCTCGATCGTTTTATGACAGTCTGTGATCTCCGCCATGTAGTCGGATACAGTGTCATCGAAGCGCTTTAATTTGTTCTGAAAAAGAAAAAATTGGCTAATTCATTCAGTTATGCTATATTTTTTTTTATACAACTTAGAATGGCAAACAAGCTGACGGCCCACCTGATGCAAAGTGGTAACCGTCGCCTATAGACATGAGCAGTACCATGGACATAACAGAGTATACTATTTCACCCATGATACCCCCCATGCGTTGCCATTCCTGAGGACTCTGGTGTTATTTCTCTGTACCCACTAAATTCACGCCATATCCCTTCAAACCGAAACACAGCCATGCAAACACAACTGCTTCACGGTTGAAACACGAATGGGACAGAGGTACCTAAGCAAGCAAGTCTCCCTATATATATATATATATATATATATATATATATATATATATATATATATATATATATATATATATATATATATATATATATATGTAATCTTTATCAGATCCGTCAGTATTCTACGACTATGACGATATGTGAGAAACGAAAGAAACGGTTATAATCTTTCGATTTTGTTATTGGTTTAGTTCTGCGAACATTGATATATATACCTATGTTCGACCAACTTTACGTAAGAAAGACTGGACTTTTACTCCATTGGAGAAATTTCACTATCTCTACACTCCTTAATGGGGAGATTAATATACCCTGTCAGGTCGCTCTTCACGCGGTTTACTCCAGGAAACCATTGTGATTAATACTTATTGAATCCGTCACAATGGGATAACGGGATTGCTTTCATCCTCACCTATCACCACTCGGTGATGCCCCACCCACGTATACCGATAGCGCAAGTGGGGTTACCATCAGGGGGGAAAGGGATTGTTAGCAATGGAGTTTGACAGCCCCATTGCTAGCAATACGCCTTATTAGGTCGACCTCCACGTGGTTCCCCTGGAAACCATCGTGAACAATTCTTGTTGAATTCGTCATGATGGGCTAACTCACCTGCTTCATCCTCACCTATCATCCTTCACTGGTGCCCCGCCGGTGTATACCGATAGCGCGGGTGGGGTTATCATTCCATAATTAGCCATTAAAAAAAATAACCGGGTTACCATTCCATTGACATTCATTATTATTCTACCTTTCAAGTGATTAATTTGTTTCTGCTATTTTATACATATTTGCTACCGTTTTTGAGCATTTTATATATATTTTGATATTATTATGAGTTTCTGTTATATCACGAAATATAACCATAGATTATAATATTTGCAATTTCTAAGTGTTAAAAAAGTAAGTTCTCAATTCGCTCATACTTTTTGGTGACGATGATAAATCTATTTGTTTTTGGAGACAATCGAATTAACTGCCATATTGGTTTTATAATAATTTTGTCACAATGGAAGTTATTTTTTTTGTGAGGAACCAATTCATCACGATACATACGTTGAGAGTGTCAATTTCGTGTATGTGCGCCACGTTTTCTTCTTTCATCTTGTAGTACGAATCGTATAGCTTGGTGTAAACATCGGAGTACAGTTTCAGGGTTTCGACTTCGCGCATTTCTTCTAGGACCTATATGGGCAGATGAAAAATTTTATGCCAGATACTTTTTGTTAGAACAATGAAACCAGACGTTGACCTTGATGGAAAAAATGTGATGGTGAAGAAAAAGAAACATGTACAGATTACTCCTTATCATTTCCTAATTATTATTATTATAAATGACATCTCGTAGTGTTTTTTTTTATACACTCAGGTTATGGAATGAGCTCCCTGCCGAGGTTTTCCCAAGAGACTACAGCATGGGGTTCTTCAAAAGGGGGTAAAGAGGTTTCTTCAGGGTCGGCAACGCGCGCGTAATACCTCTGGTATTGCAGGCGTTCATAGGCTACGGTAACCGCTTACTATCAGATAGGCCGTATGCTTGTATGCCACCTCAGTGGTATAAAAAAAAACTTAGTATAAAAAAAACATTACGACTTACTTTGTACAAAGTCTGTATTGCTTGCTCCAACTTCAAATATACAATAGTTTTTATTCTAATAAGTAAAGTTCCACTTGATAGGGGATAAAACGTTTGCCTAATATAATATACATATATCGATATCTCGTGGCTTCACCCACATTTTTTTTTATACCATTGAGGTGGTATTGAATAAAATATTTTTCTTTCTTTCTTTCTTTCTTTCATCCATGTTTATAAACATTCGCATTTTTTTATTTTTTTTTTATGCAACTTAGAATAGCAAACAAACTGACGACTCGTCTAATGGAGGAGTGGTAACCGTCGCCTATAGACATGAATAATACAGTGGACATTACAAAATATACTGTGTCGCCCATGATACTTTTCACTCGTTATCATAACCTGAGGATATACATTTATGAAATTAACAGGATTATGGTATATTACAAAATTTTTTACTTTTTCAAACTCCTTCTCCGCCTCGGTAGTCTCCGAGCCTATCTTTATGGCTCCCCCGAATGGTTCGTCTTCATCCATTTCCATTTTTCTCTTATGCAAGTATTAATAACACTAAATAACTTGCCAAAAATAAACAATGTAAAATAATAACAAAAAGGACAATGATTTTGTGATCACGGTGCGTTGGCTGTTTACTCGGTTGCTATGGTAACGTTGTTATTGTAAATTATAACGAGATTAGTCCATAACAGAGATATTGGATAATGGTTTTTGGTTTTTAACCCTTCTTTGCATATTTTTTTTTTTATTGATGACATAACTTGATTCATATAATTTGATACAATTTATGTTCAAAATTATAGGAAAGATGGTTAAAAAATACATTTGACAGCTATGTTTTTTTTTATGCAATGGACATTAACTTTTTAATGACACCAGAGGGCCTACCATGAAATATTTTCCGAAATTTCGGGGACGAACGAAATAGAAATTTGAGGTTAATTAACGCATGGGGGGTATCATGGGTGAAACAGTATACTCTGTTATGTCTATGGTACTGCTCATGTCTATAGGCGACGTTTACCACTTTCCATCAGGTGGACCGTCAGCTTGTTTGCCATTCTAAGTTGAATAAAAAAAAAAACATAATACATGCCGGTTAAAATTATTAAAAATATTAAAATATCCTTCCTCTTGACTATTAGAATAGGATTTATGATGAATGACACGTTAAGCTCCATTTACTGGGTCGATTTAGGTACGAACAAAAACATGAAATTGAGCCCGAAAATTCGGAATTTCATTTCATGGTAGGCCCCCAGATCCAGACACGATCAACTTAAAGTAAGATTGTTCTTTTATATAATTTTTGGGCATTCAATGTTATGATGGAAATTTCCACCATTATGCAAAGAAGGGTTAACACTTATACTTTTTGGTTGACGGCTTCTGGTCAAAGCCTAATAAGAAAACCAGTCAAATGCGACTCGGATTCGCGGAACGAGGGTTTCGAACAAAATCATCAAGTTTCATTTTTTTTGTAAAATAACTACAAATTTATGGGTTTTGAATATGTTCCTTTACTTATGCTACACGACATTGCTTCTTGCTAAATTTCACGAAGTACCCTGTAGGTTTTGATTCTCTTTGCGAATGTCAATATATGCATGCAATATAAATGGAACGTAAATGGCCGTATCTATAAATTATTAAACAGTTTTTGATACAATTTCCATGGGAGTAATCTTTAAGCATACCTTTTTAGGTAAAAGAATAATTTCCCAAATGGGTCTATAATTGATGGAGTTATGAGGTATAAAATATAAAAATAATGTAACCGAATAGAGAACCTGGAACTGCTTTCCTGAAGTGGGTCGAAAATTAGGTAGAATACTCCTTAAGAAGAATTCAAAATACTAAATTTTGATTTCACTCTATAGTATTAGCCATAATGATAGCCAGCCTGAGAAATATACACTACACTTTGAATTGTTTTTTGCAAAACAAACCGCTTTTCCATAGGGTAGACCATAGACTCAGTATAACGGCTCGCCGTCGACAGGGAGTTCATCCTCATATCTTATGGGGAAAAGGGATTGTTAGTAATTGGAATTAGCAGCTCTATTATTAGCAGTATACCCTATTAGGTCGACCTCCTCGAGGTTGCCCTTGGAAACCATCGTGATTGATTCATTGGTAAATTGGTCAGGATGGGGTAACCATTCCATTATCATCCATTAAAAAAAAACCTCATATCTTACAGCTTGAATAGTTGCGTACAACAACAATGGGGTCTCAGAAATGTTTTCTCCCACTTACACTCAGGTTATGGAATAAGCTCCCTGCCGAGGTTTTCCCAAGATACTACAGCATGGGGTTCTTCCAAAAGGGAGGTAAATAGATTTCTTTAGGGTCGGCAACGTGCGCGTAATACCTCTGGTATTGCAGACGTTCATAGGCTACGGTAACCATTTACCATCAGGTGGGCCGTATGCTTGATTGCCACCTCAGTGGTATAAAAAAGATTTACTTAGGGGTAAACCATAGGACTTATTGTAACGGACTACATACTGGGTAGATCGATGTTAGAGGTCGTCAATAAATTAGCAACAATCATCTACAAGGGTTTAATAATAAGAATAATTGGTATACCACAATAAAAGTGAATTGAATAATGGAAAAGATCCGCTAGGGGGCACGGCAGGGCTCTTCCGTTGTAAAAAGCAATAAAGTGACTATCAAAACAATCAATATATGGATATGTCTTATTAAAGTGGTTGTAATCGCCATTCAAATAAGTATTAGTTTCACTCGCGACTTTGTCCGTGTAAACAAGATACCTATGTATAGAAATTAATCTATGTCCTTCTCCATTCTATACAGTAGCTGTATACCAAATTTCATATTGATTGGTTAAGCCGCTAAGGCTTCAAGTGGTAACAAACCGCCTCACTTTCTCATTTATAATATTAGTAGAGACTTTGTACAAAAGTCGATTGCTTAGGTACCTCTGTCCCATTCGTGTTTCAACCGTGAGGCAGTTGTGTTTGCTTGGCTGTGTTTCGGTTTGAAGGGTGGGATATGGCGTGAATTTACTGAGTACAGAGGAATAACATCTGAGTCCTCAGGAATGGCAACGCATGGGGGTATCATGGGCAAAACAGTATACTCTGGTATGTCCGTGGTACTGTTCATGTCTATAGGCGACGGTTACCACTTTCCATCAGATGTACCGTCAGCTTGTTTGCCATTCTAAGTTGTATAAAAAAAAATTAAAGACTTAAACAGACGGGACTTACAAAAACCTAATTAAGAGAAGACTTTTTACATATAATCTGCAAAGGTAATTCTTTCTTATTTGCATATCTGCTATAAAGCAACTATGCTTGCATGGCTGTGTTTCGGTTTAAGAGGAAGAATATGGCAGTGACAAAAAAAAAAAAACAATAAAACTGGCCACGGAAGCCTAACACCTTAGTGTTCAGGAATGGAAACATTAATGGATCGGTATCAATGGCATTACAATGTACTCTGTTATGTTCATAGTACTGCTCATTTCTATAGGCGACGGTTACCACTTTCCATCAAGTGGGTCGTCAGCTTGTTTGACATTCTAAGTTGTATAAAAAAAATCTAGCAATTATATAGTTCAAACTTAAGGGAAACCAGAATGGAATTTAAGGGAAACTAGGGGAAGGGCACCAGATTATAATAAATGAGGATGTAGTCGGATTAGTTAGTGGCAAATGAAAAATGAAAAAATATTTATTTCGTAACAAAATTGATGCAATACTAAGATAGTTGCTGTGACCTTCTAGTAAGTGTTATCACCTGTATCAGAAGGTCACGCTCCTCCATTACCATGAAAATACAAATCATGGTACCATAAAATAAAGACATAAACATTATCTAGTATTAGTAATAAGTATATTTAAATGCATGCATGCGTGTGTGTGCATGCATATGTGTGTGTGTGTGTGTGGGTGTTTGTGTATGCGTGCGTATGTGTATGAATGTGTGTGCGTGCGTGCGTGTGAGTGTATGTGTGCGTGTACGTGCGCGAACACGTACAAATTGTTATGTAGTGTGTATGTTGTATGAGTGTTTGTGTAGTTTTACGCTAATCTGTATTGTTAAGATTTTTATTAAAAAGTAACTCATCAATATTTTTATTATATGAAAAGTTCTTCTGTTTCGTGGTCATTTAAAGTTTTTAACCATTCAGTAATTACACCTTTACAATCAAATTTGTTTAGCTTATAGATATTTAATTTATTATTTAATAACTTGTATAAATGTGTTGATTGTTATATAGCAAAACTTGCATCAGTAACTAACCAAGATGGTTATGTAAAAGGGATTTTTAGTAATGGGGACTACTAGCCCCATTGCTAGCAATAGCAGTCCTATCCATCGAATCAGTCGTATTTAATTCTTTTTGAATTCGTTACGATGGCCCAACCGACCTGTTTTCGTCCTCACCTATTATTAACTCTATAGTGCCCCGTCAACGTGTACCAATACCGCAGGCGCAGTTAGTATTCTATTTTTAAAATTTCAAAATTGACCTACTAGTTAAATACAATGTAACATGAAATGGTTTAATTTGTACATTATAAAATTGACTTTTTTTTATCCTTCGTAGTTTTTTAATTATAATTGAAAATCTGAGAGAACAATACCATCCCTGACCTTTTATCTCCGAATTTTTTGAAGCGTAAAGTCTGAAATAATTACAATTTACAAAAGTGTATGTGAATATTGGAACGTTCTAAAATGGTCTCAATAGGGCTAAGAACGTCGGATGTACAGTGCATCGGCCCGCCTCTACCGGTTACACAGGTTGGTACCTAGGCGTGCAGTTTAATATTTTTTTATTCATAGTTAGTGCAAAAATAAAAGGAGAGTCTAACATTGTTATTTTTATTATTGACAAATGTTGTTTTGTTGTATTTGTATTTATAATAATAAATACTGTATGTATGTTACGTATATGTATGTATATATACTACGAGAGGGAGACTTCTTACAAAAGTCGTTTGCTTGTGTATCTCTGTCCCATTTGTGTTTTAACTGTAAAGCAGTTGTGTTTGCATGACTGTGTTTCCGTTTGAAAGGTGGGATATGGCAGTGAATTTACAGGGTACACAGACATAACATCTTAGTCCTCAGGAATGGCAACACATAGGGGGTATCGTGGGCGAAACAGTATACTTTGTTATGTCCATGGTACTGCTCATGTCTATAGGCGACGGTTACCACTTTCCATCAGGTGGGCCGTCAGCTTGTTTGTCATTCTAAGTTGCATAAAAAATACTAGCTTCTATACACGATTTTGTACACGTGGATTTTGGAAGTAATAGAACACAAATCAGACTTTTCTTTTTTATACCATTGAAGTGGTAAACAAGTATACAGCCCTTCTAATAGTAAATGATCACTGTAGCCCATAAACACAACAATATGCAACAATGCTCCCTGCCGAGGTTATCCCAAGAGACTACAGCATGGAATTCTTCAAAAGGGGGGTAAAGAGGTTTCTTCAGGGTCGGCAACGGGCGCGTAATACCTCTGGTATTGCAGGTGTTCATAGGCTACGGTAACCGCTTACCATCAGGTGGGCCGTATGCTTGTTTGCCACCTTAATGGTATAAAAAAATAGTGTTGCAGGCGT